CCATTTTTTACAGAGGAGTCTGAATGCCCGTCAGCAGAAACTGAGTGGGACTATGAAAACTATTTATATGGCTTCTCAGACTTAGTTGTGCTGAAATAAACAGATGTCAAAATAAACAGTCTTACAATAGAGTTTTTTGGGTCAAAACTAGAAGCATTAGATAAGAGAATAAAATGATACCACCATGTGCATTACTTGGTCACTTTTCTTCTGGTTGAGAAGTTCCCTGAGCACTTCAAGTGAGTAAAAAGTAACGCTGGAATATGTAACACCCGAAGCCATTTTAAAGTTCCCTGCTTCGGGCACTGCTGACAGTGCACAAAGCAGTCGAGTGAGGGGAAGGCAGTGTTTTGGTGCATGTGTGTGCATTGGTGTAGTGTGTGTATATTTATGAAACTAATACAGAGTTAGAAACTTAAAGTATAAGAAAGCTACAGCTGTATTTAAAGTGCTATCCTAGTGCTAAGATGTGGATGAAGAAAAGGATGCGAAAATATGAAGAACAGTGCTAAAGACAAGGAGCTGACCCTTTCAAGTTTTACGCTGAAATTGTTCCTTTGGAACACTGGTTGTGAATAAGCACCAATGTTGTTCAATTAAACAAGGCGAAGTCCCCTTCTCTATTTTTTGGTCTGTAAGCAAGACTAAAATACAGTATTACAGATGCAAAGCTTTTCAGTATTTTCCACCTTAAGTTGTAGGCATACAAAGCCACTCTTAAATGCAGCACTGTCAAAAGATTTCACCAAGGAAGGGAGGAATAGACAAAGCCTCCTACGGGAGCAAGTCTAGTATCTTACTACAGTACGACACAACAACATAATATTTCCTAAATGTATCCAGATCTCTCTTAAAATGGCTAGATATTTTCTATCTCTTTTTCCTGTTTGGAAAGCTTTCCAGAATTGACTTTACTCCCCAGTTTCTAGTCACAGTTTGTTCATGTTCATGTACAGCTAACTCAACTGTTCTTATTCTAATGTCACTTTTTAGCTTAAATGTTTCTTGGTGTTTATCCCTTTTTCTTCTTTGTTGCTACCAGTAGGGAATTTAGCTATGACCCTTTCCATTCAGGAGAGAGGAGGCTGCCTACAACCTGTCTGTCAGGGTAACTGAACAAGCACAAGGTGTGGAGGATCAGTGCCATATTATCTGAACAAAATTGCACTGATCATTAGTTGCCAGCATAATATATGGCCAAACACCCTTGGGTGACTGGGAATCATTTCAGGAAGGCAGCCTGTGCTTCTTGCACTTTTTGGTTGTGGGTCTTTTTTGTTTGTTTTGTTTGGGTTTATTTAATTATTTATATATTTAAGCATTTTGTGCTTGTAATTTATTTACATTTGTGTAATGGGTACCTTCCAGTTCCCTCCAGCTATCTGCTTGAGCTAGCTGATTCAAAGTTTGCTACAGCTTATTCCCAGTAATCTAATTACAAAATCAGAGCAGTACAAGATTTTTTTATTCCATTCCATACTTTGCATACTGCTGGATGAAAGCAACACCTACGTTGCCTCCCATTTTGTGTGTATAGTTTTTCTGTAAGTGTTTATCAGAGTCAAAAATCCAGTGGTTCAGAGAGACATGCAAGTTGTCAAGTCCAACGTTTTGGACATAGACTGTTTTTTTTGCATTTCAATGATATGTAGTATTCAGTGACTTTTTAAATTTTTTTGTTTTGTTGTCTTTGGTGGAAGGAGATCTCCTGTATCTTTGTGGTTTTAGTTTTGATGCCTGTATCACTTTGTCATCCTGTGGTGACTCTGCGAGCGTGTGGTAAGCCAAAGCCCTGTGTTCTCCTGATATCTTCCCAATGAATCTCCCAGTTTATATATGTGTTTTTCCCTTGGATACACAACTTTGCAGTCTTCACTCTTGAATTTCATCCCATTCTCAATAATAACATCAGTGAATTGTATCGTCAATAAACCACCCATATTTTAAAGAGTGAAACATGGTTAATTTTTGTGACAGTTTTTTCATTTTACTAGTTACAATATTCTTTTAAGTTTTATGTGAAAATACCATTACATTGAGTACTGACTTCAGTTCCTCACTTTTTTTCTTTTTTAACTGGGAGAGGGAAGAAATAGCACATTGAGTCCACGATGCATTGATAGAAAGGTGGGAGACTTTTTTACTGGGATAATTTTTGTCTGTTTTTCCTGGCTTTGGAGTGTGTATCATCTACCTGAACAGAAGCTGAGCTGAGTCCTCAGGTAACAAAGTCAGTGTTAGTCAAGGTGGTATTTAGCCTACTTAAATCCTGTTGGTTCCTTGAATGTTTCAGCATCATTCTACAGACTCCTTGTCAGCTACTCACTGTAAAAATGTGCTACCAATTACCAGACAAACTGAACTTACAAGGCCTGTTCTATTGTGGTGAATGAACATAAGAAGAAATTTTGAAGCTAATGTAATGCTAAGGCTTAGAAAAAAAAAGTAGCTGGTAGAGGTAGCAGTGTAGTAAAAGTGCTCCTTACAGTCATACAGCTGCTGAATTCCTGTTCAGAAATGTCCCTGCGGGATTCTTCAGCAGGACCATCTGAGTATATCCTCTTACTCATTCCTGGGTTTGCCATTGTCTTTTGAATTGGATTGTGTTGTATCAAGTGTCTACCTGATTGTCAGAGTTGAAAAGTTGACTTAACTGAAAACCAGCTTTTTAAAAAAAAATTATTAATTTTTAAGCATGGTTTGCTTCTCTCCTGCAGTTTATGACATGGCCCCACAAGCACTTGCACTGGCTCAGCTGAAAAGGCAGGCAAGGGATGAAGGGAGGATCCAAGGAAGCCTGATCTGGCAGTCCTGTACATTTTCGGTACATTAGGGCTTTATGTTTTGCTTGTTCTGTTGCACTCAGTGCTGTCAGTGGGGTTTTTTCCCATTATCCTTGTTCTGAATTTTTATGTGGACCAGCTGTCTGAGATGGGTCGGTGCTTGAGTCCTCACTGGTGTGTTTGGGGACATCAGCTGTCATTTCTCTTGGGTCCTGGTTGTGCTGTGCCTTGCGAGTTTGCTCCTCTGCTGCCTAATCCCAGTGAAAGTGGGAGTTGGTTGAGAGAAGCTGCAAACCAAAATGATGACTTCAGTTGAGGAAGAGGACATGAGGTTTTTTTCCTTACTGGGAGTTTATGCTTTCTGATTGAGGCAGTCACGGGCCAGAAGACTTTATGAATCCATAGATCTGTCTGGATCCCTGACCGCAGTAGTAGAAGTAGTTCATAATTCATCCCATGCGCTTATCCTTCCAACTCTTCTCTTTCTTAAGAAGTATCTCCCCCAAACTAAGGTGCTGAGATTAAATATTTTATCATCTGCACACACAAATCTAAGATTAGCTGGGAATGGAATCTGTAAGTTTTAAGTCTCTGGCTGAGCCTTCTCTTTGGGCTGTTACTTGTAATGCCTGTAGTTGGAGACATTACTTTTGCTTTGTCTCCAGCAGGGTATTTGCCCTTTGACAGTTGTCAATGAAATAATCATTCCTCTGCAGTCAGCTGATCAGATGGTGTTTTTCTGAGGTTATTTTTGGAAATCACCAAATACACAATGAGGGAGTTCACTTAATGTACTCATATCCAAACAGGTGACTAATCTAACCTTTGAGATCACACTGGATACAGGTTTGTTATAGCAGATGCAATTTAAATTGCTGAAGAGGGTGAACAGCTGGTGTGGCTTTCTTATACTGTTTTATTTCCCCCTTCCTCTTCAGAAGGGGTACTTCAGAATTCCAGGTGATAAGACCTCTGCACTTCTTTTGCCGATATGTTTCAGATGTGAACTATAAAGATGCTGGAGGTAAAACCTCCAATGAATACAGCGGTACCATGGCACTGTAATGTTAATAGTAAGGCATCATCTAAATTGTTTGGTTTCCATGGAATGCTGCAAAGATTTTTGCCAGCTATTTGGGGTCTAAATAGATTCAGTATAAGAATACTCCTAAAATATGGGGTATAATGTTTCTTTTTGAGTTCAATATGTTAAAATAATTGGATAGAGTCCTAGGAACTGACTTCTGCATCATTTCTCTTACACTCATGAGTAACAATGAAACAATGGTAGGTCAAATGTGTAGTTGCTGTGATTCACTGAAATCTTATGAATGAAAACTGGAATTAATTTGGTGGGTTTTCTTTGCTTTTTTTTTATCATGCATCATGCTAAGCAGCTCTCGACGTAATACAGTTTGTAGTGGTTGATATTGTTCTTCGGTGGGGTCCAAAAACACCACCGTCTCGGAACACATACTTAAATTTTCTTGAAGATTAACAACTTTTTTTTTTTTTTTTTAAATTTGTATGACCATAATTCTGCCTCTCCGTTCTGGAACAATTTTACATTTTTGAGAGTGCCTTTATTTCACTTTCAGTAAGCAAAATGGTTGCCTGCTTTCACTTCTTTCTTTGAAACAAATTGGTCATTAGTGCTTGAGAATTCTTAACAAGATTTAAACTCGAATTTTATGTAGTGTTGGTGAAAGCTTTGCCTAGTGTTAGCATGTGTGAAAGTTATTTGAGAGATATGTAATTTATTTTGTTCAGCATAGCAGTGAGAAAGTTCATATAGTTGGGAGGGCAATTAACTAAATTATCCAGGAAAACTGAAATTAAATTCCATTTTTAATATTCTACCTGGGGAAGTGATATTGCTTGTTTCTCTAGCAGTGTCAGAACAGAACATATGATGGGTCAAAACTGTTTTAAGCTGCTTTAATAATTTAACATGGAAAGAAGATACTGTGTAAATCATTTCCTGATGAGTGTACATGATGCTGGCCACCAGCAAAAGAGGAAGGATGTATTTTTGTGGGCAGGGGGACAGAGTAGATTGCTTATAGGGGAGTGAAAGCAAATGGCAAGTAATTTATTAATTACAGAAATAAAGTTAACCAACATAATAGTGTTATAATTACAGCAGGTTTCCAGAGCAGAGGTTTGCCAGAGGGCAATCCACTATTCCATGTTTAATTTTTCTCTTTTTTTTAGGCTCTAGATGTTGACCGAACTGTTCTCTATAAAATGAAGAAATCTGTCAAAGCCATAAACTTATCTGGTCTGGGTAAGTACATAACTCCTGTTAGTTTATATTGGTGAAATTGTAGGATTCAAACAGCCAGATGTTGTACTGAATCAGAAAGAGTTATATGGGTAACTCTGAGAAGAGAAATATGTACATTTTAAATAACAGTTTTGAACTAGCTGCTTGATCCTGAGCTCAGTAAGGATGAGATGTGGTGAGGTAGCTGAATGTCTCTCGCTGGTGTTGGGGTACAAAGTGGGGAAGTTGTGCTCTCCCCTTTCCACCAGGTCTGGGCTACCTGCTCCTTCTGCCACCCCTGCTGCTCGGCAGATCTCTAAGTGAGATTTTTAGCTCGTGTAAAGCAGCATATGCAGTGAAATCAAGTTAACTGGGATTAGATGGGCACCTGAAATGGCAAGGCAAGTGAATCATCAAGAGCTGAGGGCATGGGAGGGGTGAAATTACTCTTTGGCAGCAATAAGAAGCTACATTTGCTCTACTGCTTTGTGAAACCTCACCCTTTCCTGGTGGCTTCCACTTATGTATGTTGAGAATTTCATGATGAGAGATCTGATGGGCTACAGTTTTTTGTTGTCAGGTTGTACAAAGTCAGATATTTATCTTCCAATGCTGATAAAATACAAAAAAACTATTGCTACTTGTGTTTTTAAATGTGTGCCAATCTCTTGGAGTTGTGTGTGTTTATCTTCTTTGAAAAAAATAGCCAAAGCTTTTGTTTTTGTGCATCAGCAGCATTTTGTGAACAAGAAACAGCATTTGTTTTTGTGGATAAGAAACAGCGTTTGGTTGGCTTTTGTTCTCACTGTGCAGTTCACAGCAATTAGAGCTAAGAAAACCAATATTACATGCAAAACAGATAGGCCTGGCAACCTTGGAGAGCCACCAATATCTGAGAGAACTGGTGGTCATGTTGGTGTTCAGACTCAAGGCTGGAACAAGAACTGCTGTTGTGGTGTAATTCTTGTCAGCTAACTGAAAGGAAGTTCCTTCTTGTCTAATGTAATGAAGCTGTTATAGCTGTTATCTTTGTATTGTGGAGGGTCCAGTTTAAGATTCATCTAGAGTTGTTTCATCTGTTACGTGTTGATTTGGCACCCTTTTTTTCTGGTTATTTTTTGGTTTTGTTTTGGTTTTTTTGATTTTGGTTTGGTTTGGGTTTTTTGAGGTTTTTTTTGCGGGTTTTTTTGTTTGTTTTGGTTTTTTTTTCTTGTTTGGTTGTTGGTTTGTTGTTTTTTCTTAATTTTATTTTATTCTAGAGTGCTTGGCTATGGCTCATAATCAGAGTAGTTCTTAGAGCATTGTAGCAAATCACTAGTCTTTACATAAGATCAGTACCCTGCCCACGTTCTAAATTCATGCTGCCCACCCAATCTTGACAAGAAAGGTTTGGAGGCATTTCTTTCACCAGCAGAAATGCTACTAACCCAGCCAATTGCCAGCCCTTGGGGTTTCTCTTGACAAAATAAAAACCATGGCCCTACACTCATAAGAACACAGTTACTGGATTTTCAATATAGGTTCCCTGAATACTAAATATGCATGTTTTGGCTTTCTTCTGTAATGTGCCAATTTACAAACGTTTATGAAGGATTACATAGTGACTCCAATTTGTACAGAGTTTTGTTTCTTACTTAAAGAAAGCCTCTAAATCTTCAAACGTACCTGAATCATATTTTTACATCTATTTTTAATAGATTTCATACCTTTCCTTTGTAGAGAAACTTTTAAAATCCATTAGGAAGAAACCATAGGGCAGGGAGAGTATTTTGGAGGGTTCCATGAGAAAAATAGAACTTTGTGTTCTTCAGAAGCACTTGTGGAGCACCAGCTCAGTTAGTATATTGCTGCAAAACAACCTTTAGCATTCTGGGGAATGTCTTGTAATCCAGAAGAACAGTCCCTACGATGCTGGAGAACAGGAAACTCCTGGGAATGCTGTGTGGAATGGTTGCTGTGCTTGTTTCCTAAGGTAAAAAGTCAGCGTGGCTCAGCTGCTGATTCCACAGTTCACCATAACAATTAGTGGTAGGAGCCTTTTCACCTTGTTCTCCTGGAGAGGCAGCTTTCTCCTTTTGCTCTAGGAATTGTGGCCTGATCTCTACTCTTCCTAAGCCAAGCGGGATGCAGGAAGGAGTAAGAATGTAGAAAGCAATATGGGAATAGTTCACCTTGCTGGGTAGATGTGAGATCTGGAGGAGTTGTGACCTGCCATATCCTGGGTTTGGCTGTCTGTGCCAGTCCATTCAAAGCTTGTTCAGGTGTATGTTGAACATCCTTACTTCATCCTGCAGCAAAAGGTTTGTGAAGTGCTTAGCCCTTGCTGTTGATGCTGAGGAAAAATAAGTACAGTTCAGTGCTAGCACTTAGTTTTTAAATTTAGTAGCTGTCGGCAAACTACCTCTTACAGGCTGCAAATTTAAGCTGTCAAGGTAAAAACTTGTAGAATGAATGCTTTCTGTGTAACTTCAGTTTTGCATGTACGTTATGCCAGTTCTTTAATTACATGGTGTTATACCGCTGCTGCACAGGATTTTAGTTTCATATATTAGAAATTGGAGGAAAGTTGTAGTTATTTGAGAAATAAAGATCTTGAATGGTTGTCCAGATAGGGCATGTGGACAGACAGGCTTATTTTTAGTTTGGAGCATGCTACGGTTATTGAACAGGTTGTATAACTAATTCATAGAAATTTGGCAAAAGGATATTACATAAAAAATCCTTTGGATATTAAATGTGTTGATGTGTACAAATGGGCTTGAAATGAAACTGGATCATTACTTGTTTGAACAGATTAATCCTCTCTAAAATAATCTTCAGGGTTTATGCAGGTCTCATGTAATGACCGAGACAGTCTTTGTTCTTGTTAATGCATAATTTGTTTTCTAGGGCGTGGGTTTTTTTTCTCTGACTTCCTTTGAAGGTTTAGAAGTTGGCCACAGTTAGAATAAGAAATAGGCAAGATTAACTTTCTCAGGTGCCAACTTGGTGAGCTTTGTCTGTGTTCTCAAGTTGACATGGTCACTAAACTTGTGTTCAGTAAGACTTTCTATTTTATTCCACAGATCAAATTGACTTTTGACAAAGGGCCTTTTTATGCTTGTCTACACAAGCAAGTAAGCTGGTGTCCTAGGAGTGAATCCCTTGATCAAATTAGTTAAGAGTGAGGGCCCCTCAGGTTTCCTTAATATTTGAATCAGGGAAGCTTATCTTAGGCCCAGATTTCCTCTTGTTCCCTGGGCTGAATACCCCAACACGTGCAGCTCAAAGCTTTCTGAAGAGCAGAAGCGTTGGGTGTGTGCTGGATGACTTGCACTGGTCTGGTTTTGTTGTCTCAGGAAGGAATCTGGTTGTCGTGAACCAGAGCTGCTTTGAGAACTGAACTGGCCCGTGGTAAATGCAGACTGCAAGGATTTGCTTCAGCCCCTGCTCTGAATCAGAGAGCTAACATAGATATGGGGTTTGTCCTCCTCTGTAATGTAATCTGTAGTATTAAGGTGACTCAAGAGTCCTGTTTGGTCTGTTGCCTTCTGTTGTAGGGAACCAAGACTCTGCCAACACACTCAATCTCTTCTGTTTCTTTGTTCAGCACACAGCTGAAAATAGAAAATGTTAATAAAAAACTCTAAAATATAGAAGTTCATTATAGGATTTGGGAGTTGTTATACAGTCTCTGCTGTGGTGCAGAAATATTGTGGGTCTTTCTAGAGTGCCAGATGTTTGTCTTGTGTTGGTGGCTCATTGTCCTTTGTACAGCATGTGGACAGATACCCATAAACCAGAATTAGTGAGATATGTCATACTTCTGTCTTATCAGTGTTAAAATATAAATAATATATGTTTGATGTATCAAGTAAACATTTTTAGCAAGAAATCTGAGAAGTTTTTCTTTAAAAAAACTCTCAATTGTAATTTCAATAGCCTTTTATCTACTGATGATATTTTCATGTTTTGCTCTTTTTGAAGCTCACGTGGAAAATGAAGAACAGTATACACAAGCACTGGAGAAGTTTGGAGGCAACTGTGTTTGCAGGGATGACCCAGATTTGGGAACAGCGTTTTTAAAATTTTCTGTGTTTACAAAGGAATTAACTGCACTCTTCAAAAATTTGGTAAGAATTACTTAAGAAAAACATTGACATTTTAAAGCCATTACAAAAGCTGTATTTATCAATTACAGCAGCTCTTCATATTGAAGACAGTTTGTGTTTTGGCAACCACTATTCTTAAAAAATTCTCAGTGTGTGAAAATATCTCATGCCCTAGCCTTTCCCCTTGCAAAACTCAAAACTAAACCCCAAACAACAAACGAAAAAACAAATTACTACAAAACCCAAACAAATGCAACAGAAACCCCTCTTCCAACACTTCTCACATCTAAAAGCTTCCCACAATAAAGTAGTTGTAACATGTGTTATACAAGACACATATCCATTTGCTTTAAAATTGTGAAACCAGCAAAACCCAGCTTGATTTACTGTGTATGATTGTGTTCCTTCTACTTTACTTTTTCCCACTTTCCATTTGTATTTATGAAAGGAGATTTTAGTGTCCCTGGAAGAGAGAGTTCTTGCTTCTCAGGGAAGAAAGTCAGGGAAACAAAATCAAACAAAATGCTGTAATGACAGTAGTGTCCACTGGGGACCAATCCTGCAACTGAAGCCAGTAAGGCTTAAGAGCACTTTTTGGTGAGCCAAATGGGATGGAGCCAAATGGAAGAACAGGAGTTTTAATTATGAATGGAGAATTTTCAGCCTCAGTTTCACATTAATCAGAGGGTACAAAAAGGGCAGATTCTGATTATAGTCTACTAGGTAGAGCTTTCCCATGTCTAAGTCCCAGATTTTCTTGAATTCACACAACTCTTAAACCTGGGGCTATGAAGGGGAAATAACCCAGATTCCTATGAGCATTTAAAAGTCTGTGTCTGCCGAAATCAATGACATGGAGACACATCAAATGCTTTTGTGAGTCTAGACCAAATGTCTGTAGTTTGCAGCCAGCTGGTCATAATCACTTCTTTGGGGAATGTTTCCAGCTGATGGGATTTAGGGCAGTCCCATTCACTCCCTGATGCTGTCCTCTCTTTTTACCCAGTCCTGATATTGATGAGAGAGAATCTCGCCCTGAATGTATTTATCAACAGTGAAATGTATTTCATATTGGTCATATTGATTTGAACTTCTCTGGATGTACAAATATTATCTGGGATTATGAATTGGAAGAGGCATCCTGATTCAGTGTGAGTCAGTTATCCTGAGTCTCCCATACAGAGGCAGGCTGCTCCTATGGAAGGGAAAATGGATTGGGTCTTCTAATTGATACCTTCTGTTGACTAAAAACCCCTCTCTATCATATATTAGTTGCAATATGATGACTTCATTAGGCAAATGGATCTGGGAAATGTGATGTTTAGGTGGTTTTAAAAAGCAATCTATTAAAAGCTCCACCCCCTCCCCAGAAATCCTTTTTAATGTATTATTTTTTCAAGAATACTTCTAAAAGCTAAAAGATGTTCCTATTTTTCCAAAAATCATGCCTATTTGTTCTCTTAAAACCAGAAATTACTATCTTAGCAAAAATATTTCTGGCAAGAATAACTTTTCTTCCACAAACTGGAAAGGAAAAAAACCGAAATAAATATCTGTAGGAGGACATGTAATGCATGTTTTTGTTACCTTTTCTTATCCACATAAGCATTTTGTATGTCTTCTTCAAGGAATATTTCTAGCTCTTTTTGCTGTGTACTGTTTTTTCAGTAACACTTATGTATTTTTGCTTCAGTTTGTGTGTATAAAAAGGGGATATGTCATGAAAGAGTAGCTAAGTCTTTAGTTTTTCTCAGTTTGTGGTTCTGATTTTCTCTATTTTTGAAGTGAATTATAATTTTCTGTGGACTTGAATGTAATGGTGGGGTTTTTTGTTTGTTTTACATTGCAATAGTATAGGCACCTTCTCTGATACTATCTGGTGAAGAGCGAGTCTCAGTAAAGTTCTGCTCCTTCGAAATATACTTCATATTGTTGAAGTTCAAAGTTCTTTGTTTTCTCTTGACTAGCAAAGGAAATCTAATGGTCCTTGAATTTGGTGTGTCAGTAGGAAGATAGTTTCATTCAGAAAGAAAAACATATGAAAACGAGACGTAAACTTCATTATTGCTTGAAAATACCATATTCATAAACAAGAAATTTAGAACTATAAAAAAATTATAGATGTGTGTAACTTTGCTTATTAAAAGTTAATGCCACTAGAGTAAACTGTTGGTAACCAGTCATTTTGAAAATCTGTTCATAAGTTCATAGATGGAGATTTAGGTTTCTAAGAGGTTAAAAGAGTGTAAAAAATGATGAGTGTTTAAAGTCCTCTGCAGTAGGTGGGAATAAATCAGGGTGCTATTTTGTTAAAGGCATAGCCATATGTGAAACAAGCCCCATGCTTTCTCTCAGTGAAGTGATGTATCCAACTCTGCTTTCAGCATGTTGGCAGTAAAAAACATCCCTCTCCTCTGGCATTTCCTTGTAGCACTCCACATGTTTTAGTTGTAAATATTTGCATCAAAAATGTAGCCAGGGCCATGCAACCTGCTGCTGTTAAAAAAAACATTCTGAAAGGTACTCTTTAAATAGACCTGTCTCTGGAGTTCCATAGGGCACTGAATTTCCACAGAACATTTTAGCTGAAGTGAACGAGGAATGTGCAAGGAAGTGAGAGGACATGTTCAGACTGGAACAGATGCCAAAGATGTTAACACTGGCAAAGCTTTAGGGCTACTGTCAAGTTTTGCTTTGTCAGATATTGTGCTTTTGTTTCCAGAAGCTGATGTGTTTTGTCAGCTCTTGGTCTGGGTGGTATTTAGAGCTGTAGCTCTAAAGTGCTTCTGCAAAAAGACTTTTCTTAAACTTATCTTTAGTAAGGTACAGAAAAGCCATTATAAGGCTGTTCTGCTTTAACAGGGATATTAGATGCTTGTTTTCTCTAATAATTTTAAAAGTTTCCCAAAAACCTGAAGTTTTTGTGGGCTGATCAATGCGTCCGTGTTTTAAATATTTCATTAACAACTGCAGGTGTTTTCTTTTTTAATCCCCAAAAATGTAAACTATTCAAGTTAAAAGTTCAGGTCTTGAAGTTTTTATATGTATTTTATGCTTTTATGTGTGCACTTTCAAATAGTGCTTAAAACTCAAAAAAAAAAATTAATTGGAATTTACTTTGTATCACGTCCTTGTAACCATTCACTTTAGCCATTTTAACACATTATTTGGATCAGTTTGTGATATATACTGTACCTTTTTTTCTCTTGCCATAGCTCCAATATCAAGCTACAAATTTTTCTTTAATTTCTGTTTTTTAAGAAGATTGAGCAATCGGTTTGTCTTTTTGATAGTAAACGATCAGAAAATACTTGAGCCATTTTCAGAGGAAACACAGTACCTTTTGTGGAGGTACAGTATTGCTTTTTAATGGTAACCTTGTTTCTAAGTCCTAATTGGATGGTAGCGCCCGCAGTTCCCAGGAAGGCTAGATCAGGATGGCACTTGCTTATACAGTGTTAATTACTCTGTCTTCTTAATAAATACAGTGCCAAGTAATAAAGGTGTGAAGCTTAATATGAAAAATGTTAGGACAAGGGAAGACTGATTGCAGTATGTTTGCACTTTAAATATTTTCTTCTTTATATCCTGTTAGATTGCTGCACTGAGAGAACATAAAATATGTAGTTGCACGTCATCTTTGTCAGCACTCCTTGAGAAGGGATTTGATCTGTGAAAATGAAGTAGCTATTTAACAAATTCCATTTTCTGTATTTGTTGTTGTTCTACATACTGTTGTCCTTTCTTTTTCATTTATTTAAATTTAAAGCTAATGAAACAGGCTGAATTGAGAGGACTGGATCTGGTATTTCCACTCTGTGGAAGGTAGCTGGGAGGAAGAGATTTTATTTTGTATTAATAATTCTAAGACTTTTAGCCATAAAAAATGGAAGAATACTAATAATATTTTTCTGACCATATGCTCCTGTTTTACTTACTTTTTAAAATGTAAGAAGAAAGGAGATGTGCTTAAATGCAAAAGGTAACAACAAAATTGAAGGAAATAACTTTTCTGTTTTATATAATGAACTTATGCCCAGAATTTTCTTTCAAGGGTACTAGTTCAAACTAAGGTTTTTAAAAAAATGTTTGCTGCCTGAACCTTCACTCATCTTAGTTAAGTCCTTGAAAAACCCTACAGATATATGTATTTGAGATTGAAGTATTATATGTGAAGCTTAATGATTTAAGTTGTGTCGTTTCTGTTTTTCACTGGTACACTGGAGGAAAACTTGGCTAATGGTGAGAGGAAAAACGTTTGATTTATGCTTGTAAAGATATAAACCAAGATGTAATTATTCCTCCTTAGTGGCATGGGTTCAGCTCCACCTGGAATCACATCTGTATTTCTTTGCCAAAAAGATATTGATCCAACTGGAAGAAATTCAGTGGACAGTTACAAAAAATGATCAGGGCTTGAATAGGTTGATTTATGAATAAAGCTTAGAAGAATTTTAAATATATGGTTTGCCTCCAGATAACTGTGATTGTGGAAGAGGAAAATACTAAATTGCATATAAACAGGTCCTCACTCTGAAAGTATTAGGTGAAGTACCCCAGAGAAAGCAATAGATGCTTACCACTTAGTTCTTTTCACATAGGTTAGAAAATGTGCAATCTGGAATTCTCCTCCACTGGTAAGGAAGAAGGGCTCGAATAACTACAAGTCTCTTCCTTCCTTTGCTTTTGCGACTCTTCGCTTTATGCTTTTAAGATTTCCCATAAAATACTTCCTAACAGAGAAGTTGCCAGCCTGTAGTTTGTTTATTGGTGGCAGTCCCAGGGCTGTTTCAAAGTAGTACATGATGGGAACACTTGGTATCCTGTGTGAAGGTATTTTTCTAGGCAGCTGAGCCAGCAGCTCCCTGTGGGCACTTAGTGGTGTTCGGCTCCTGTTTCACAGGAGTGACTTTTCCTGTGGCATGATGGGTGGTGGGTGATGTCCCAGCTCAGCCACACACCTGTGCTGCTGGTGGGGCAGGGACTGAGCACAGGGAAAGGCAGCATTGTGTCCTTGTGTCCAAGGGGAAGACACAGTGCACAGATAAAAGTATGTGCTGCATCTCTTCGTGCTACACAATTTTGGGAAGCCTTGGGCTTGTGTGCTAAAGCTTAAAATTCAGAAAAACAAACTGCATCTCATCTATAGCGGATGTTCTGGTTTCCCCTTGCTCCCTGCTGTGTTGATTTGCCATGTCCTACTAAAGGTCACATCACTGGGAAAATTATTGGAAACTATTAAATCCAATAGCACTTACTGTAAAAAAAGAAAATAACTTAAACAATGATTTGTCAGCAGGCAGTACTGCCATCACCTGTGCACACCCGACTTCACTGGTGGTTGAGAAGCCACAGCCAGGTGCATGGACTGCATCTGAAGTTTAGTAATGGCAGTAGGAGTTGTGTTGTACTGTGACTGCCTGAATTTTAGTTTAAATTGAAAAGACTTTAAGGTCTGCATGTTTAAAGTATTTAACTTCAGAAGTACTGACAAAGCTTTTTTTTTTAGAAAACAAAATCTATAGAAGTCCTGCAGGCACCAGTATCCAAAGCTCTTATGGAAAAGACTCTTTAAAGTAATCAGGAGGGCTGGCAAACAACAAACTTAAATGTTTAGCCATAGGCTCTTAAACCACTTGAACATCTTTCCCCTTTGCAAATGTTGGCTTGCTTGTTGCCTCTACCAGCACTCCTGGCAGCTACGTTTTATTTATTCATTCTCCCCCCTGCCATTTTTTCTTCTTCTCTGAGCCTTCTCCAACTTAGGAAGTTTTAATTTTTTACCCTGAAATCTTCTTGGAAACTGTCAGAGGAAAACTGCAAGTGCCAAAGCAGCAGTATTGGAAGTGAAAATGAGGTCAACTGCTTTTTTTTCTTTTTCTTTTTTTTTTTTACACATGGAACTTGCTAGTGTTCCTCTGAGACAGAGGATGACTTTAATTTCTGTGAAGCTTTCCTGCACCTCCGTGTATTTTTTCTAAAGGAATATTTTAAAACATAAAATAGTCAAAATGTGGAGGCTGTTGTGTACTTTCTAACTCCTTGTACAGAGTAGGAGCTGCAGCATATTAATGCTTCTCTGCATGCCAAAAATGGGTCTATATTTTTAGATAGTTCAGCTTAAGCTTCTCAAGAAAGAGGAGGAAAACATGTAAGATCTTTTGTCTGTATATTGCTTGCTGATTTATAAATATGAGTGAATATGATTCATCTAACTAGGCTAATAATGACAAGTTCATGCATTATGTATGTTTACTTTTGTTGCAAATAAAATAGGAGCATAGGGAATACAATAGACTGATAGTAATGTACAGGTGATAGCACACAGAAGGATTTATTTTGAATAGGCAAACATTCTCCAAACTTTTAAAAAGAATGTAGAGTTTTTTCTCCCATTCTTTTTTCTTAAAATTGCTTTAGGCTTCAGGCCTCATGACTTGAAATTCTAGAAAACATAACTCTTTTGGAGGCTGATTGATGTTTACATCACTGTGACTGGGATAATACTTAAGGGTCTGATATTTTTTCTTACTGAAGAAAAAAACAGTTGTCTTGAGTTCTACTGTTGTGAAATACTTTGTTCTTCCTTTTTGTCTGTTTACTGAATTTGAAGAATAATTAAATGGAGGCTGTGAAAGTTTTGATCCTTAGGTTAGACATTTTTGACTGCATCATACTCATTAAATAGAATAACAAAGTGGGAAGCTGCATGGGATTAAATCTTACAAGGGACCTCTTCTTCTCCACCTGAATAGCCATTCTGGATGTGCAACTTCTAGAAATTTGTTGGAGTTTTTTTACCTAGGTTTTGTGTAGTTTCAACCTTTTCACTTATCTCCTGTTTCTACGACATATAATTTTATTACCTTTGAGAATGGTTACGTCGATATGCGCATGTTGTTGTACTGCTGAGAACTGAGGAGGTGGATGGTTCCCAGCACTGCCAGCTAAGCATGTGTAGATGTTGCTCATTCAGTTTTTGTAGGAAGTATTTAAAAAAAACAAACAACATGGAGTTGAAATGTAACTTGTTGATTCTGAAGGGTTATGGCTGAGTCCTGCAGTTTGTTGGGGAGGAGGAAATGTAGAGTGGAGGAGCAGAAATGTGATTTGTGTTAAGAGTTCAAAAAACCAGATATTCTGTATTTCTTTAGCCTCCCCATGCAGAGCCAATGCATGTAGCCTTTACAATTGATGAAGGTTTGCTTTCTCTTCGATTGCTTGCTGAGATTTCAAGCAAATGCAGTAAGGTAGTTTCTTTGGGGAGGAAGAGTGGAGGGTTGGGACCTTTGCTTGTTTGTTTTAATAGCAACTGGTGAGTACCACGGGGGATGGGACCCCTGAGTCTGTTCTACTGAGACCTCCAAGTAACTACAGGGTGATAATATTTTGTATTTTTCAATTCTGGGGAGACTAATAATTGCAAATATTTTTTTTTCTTGACGTTTGTGTTAGTATCCTTTCTTTTCTGGATGGGTTGCGCTAAAAGGGACTTGGATGTCCCTGACATTATTCCTGAAGAAATACAAGCATTTATTGCTACATGATGCAAAGTTCTTTCTGTAATTTGAACACATGAAATGCATCTTCATATATGGATTTCAGTGCTTCTTGAAAAAAGTCACATTTTAAAAGAACAGCTTACAATGCCAAAAAAAGGGCAACCTTCACCAAACTGCTGCAAAAGTTATTCTGATTTTTTGTCCCATTGTATTGTTCTGAAGTAGTCTGGGCTTTGCTTTTCAGAGTGATCCATTTGAATTGTTATGGTTTAAACTTTCTGACTAGACATTATGGTCCATACCTTGAATGTTTCCCCTGAATCATAAAGCAGTGGATGTGCAGTCTTTCTTTTCCTGGCTGTCTTATTCCTACAGTCTTTCTTCACTGTTTTTCCTTATGAAAATATTATCATACAGATACTTACTTAAAACCGTGATTATTTTACTGTGTTCATTTGAAATGATTTTTGTCTTCTTGAAGTACTTGTTTTCTCTTGAATTATACTAGACTTACATACTGAAGACCTCATAAAATCCTTATTTCAAAGTTCACATGAGATAAATAAGGCAGATGTATTACTTTTTAGAAACACATGGAAAATATTGGAATAGTGGCTTTTTTACAGGCTGGTATTCTTTTGTCGTTATAACTTCTGTCAGAATAAAATAGCATGTATTGGGAGAGTAGCAGATACATTTTATGGAATAGGTCTGAAGAGACTGGAAAATAAACAAGGTTAATTTAAAATACGTTCATGAACTTAAAATTATTAGTGCTGAAAAATGGTATGATTGTTTTCACATAATTTAAACAGTGAAATCAGGTGATGTAAAAATTAGTGGTCTTATTTTGCAGTCACTATTGGATGAGATATTTATAATCAGCAGTAATTCTGGAAGTTTCCTGCTGGCTTGGGTTATAGTGTTTCCACAGTAAGTTTAATTAACTCATGTTGCTTCCATCTTTGATTACTGGCTGTGCTGATAAACATCTTTATACAGCACGGATAGGAAAATAATATGTAAGATTTCCTTGTGAAACTTTCTGAAATGTGTGTATTAAGACAGTTTATGTTCTGTGTCTGAATGTATTAAATGATTTGGTGTAATTTTCTTGTTACAGATTCAGAATATGAACAACATAATCACTTTTCCATTGGACAGTTTGCTGAAGGGAGATCTGAAAGGAGTAAAAGGGGTATGTTGATCTTTCTGTTTATATGTAAGATTATTGTTGGTGCAATGGATACATTTAGCTAGTGTATTAATCTTATGTGATGGAAGGCATGGGATATTAAAGTAACCTATTAGCTTAATAAACAAGACTTCAGGGTTTTTGTTTGGGTTTTGTATGTGTGTATGTGAATTGAGTCATCCTTTCAGTTTGTGGTTTTACCTACCACATGTTCTTGACTATGTACACAAAGCAATATTTGAGAAGCTTTAAAAACAGGCCTGAGATACAGAAGATAAGCAGAGAAAGAGGTGTAAGATTTAGAAGCTTAGTTGAGGAGTGGGTAGTACTATATTTAAAAGGATTATTAGTAGTATGTTTATTTAGCATTCTAAACTTACCTGTAACTATATGGATTTTTAGAAAGACACATTAGACTGTATAAGCATAGGATTTTTCTTAATGAAGCTGAAATCTGTTTGTGCCCTGAGGACATTTCCTATTTGAAATAACAATAAGTTAGGACTGAAATGATGATATGTTTGTAATAAATTTCAGAACCTATAGCCAACAAACTTATTTGGCTTATGCTTTGTTTACTAGTGAACAAACAGGAAGCAACTGGCAGCTATTGTTCTAGGACACTGAAGGAAGGAGAAAAATATGTACATAAACTAAAAATGTTTCTGTAAATTACTGGAGGATAAATAGATTATTTAGTCAGATAGGCTTGTTATCTTTGTATTGTTTGCTTAGCACATTTCACTCCTCTTGTTCTTTGCTTTTTCTATGTCAGAATAAATACATCTATTACAATACAGTGTTGTCCCACTGACTTGAGAATGTAATGAAATGCTGCTTTAGTTATTTTAATAATTGTCAAAATAACTAGCTGACATGTTAGAATTAGTTCCTAATCTGTAATTGCAAAGTTTTTCCAGTGTCTGACAGTTAACAGTATTTTTTTTGTAGTTGTCTGATCTCTTGAAGTTCAGTAGAATTTCAGCCCTTCCATTTCTAGATGTCAGTGAAATAACTTTACAACTTGTTAAGATCATTTTATACAAATTACCTTCTCCAGAGGGAAGAAAATTAAGGAATTTGGAACATAAGTAATTTAAAATTCTCATGGAATTAGTTATATTGAGCCGTATGGCCTATGCTGGTCCCATTAAGTCAATGGGAAATTGATTTCTTAAACTTGAGTGGGATGAATCAAGTCCTTAGCCAAGACTATGCTGCAGCCTTGGGATAGGTGCTTCTTTCCAGTAGAGCCAGAGATTGATGAGAAAATAGCTGCTTTGATTAATTGCATCATATGCTCTTGGGATACCATGTTTTACCTTTTAAGGAGTAAAATGGAACTGTAAAAAACATAGCAAAAAACATCCTAGAGATGCTTTTAAAAATATGCATGTATTAATGCTCTTTACAAGATTGTTTTCCTATGTGCAAGATTGCTTTTGCACAACCCTTAGGTGAACCACTCAAGAAGGAGTGAAGTCCCTTATTCTAGTAGGCACTGCAAGTGGCCGAGGTGTGTGTTCATTGTTAGAGCCACAGTATTTTTGATTTAAATAACTGGCTGTATTTTTTTCTTTTTTTTTTTTTTTTTTTTGGACAGGACCTGAAAAAACCCTTTGATAAAGCTTGGAAGGACTATGAAACAAAAGTGTATGTATCTTTTAAACTTTTATTTAAAAGGGAAGTGTAACTGAAATCTGTAAAGGTCATTATTTAATACCAAGGTTGGATGCTCTCAGGAGGTGTTTCGTGTACCAGAAGTGGATGTACACCTATCTGAGGCTTGTAAGTTGTGTCTTATGTCATGTGTCTAGCCCAACTTACCATAAGCCACTTGTTTGAAGGTACCTGATACCCTGTATAAACAACTATAAAATAAGTTTATAAATAATTGAATTGAGTCAATAAAGCTCAACACCTAATATCAAACACAATTGATTCTGGTACCTTGTAAATCTTAAGTGGTTCAGTGCCCTACATCAGGAACAGTTGTTTCCTGGATTGGCTGGGTCAGTTGTGTCAGCACAGCTGATGGCCTCTGAAATAGAATTTTGTAGTGAGTTTTATTCTGCATTACAGTTTTACCTGGATTGTGACTATCAGTTAAGTTTTTGTGTCACATGTCCGGTATCTTTATTCTGAAATAATGCTGCATGTATCAGGCCTTTTCTGATGATACAGGTTGAGAAGAATCACATCTGATGACACTGTTTAACATAAATAGCTTGCAGATCCACAGCCAACTGGACTGGCTGAGTATCTGGCACCATTTATATTTTTTTTTCAGTTGCACAAAGTTATAATGATCCTCTGGTGCCCACTGAATTAGTCCATCTGAAGTCTTCAAAAATTATTCCTGCCTAGCTGTAGCTGGATTTTATAACAAGACATTTTGAAACACTGAGATAAACCTCCAGTCTGACCGTTGGAATCCTTGGAAGATTGTGATGGCTCCAGTGTTTCATGTTCTTGATACCAGTGGGCAATCTCATTTGGTGCCATACCAGTTATCAACTGTTGAAGTAATTAACATTTCTAATCACTGTCCATGTCAGTAGTTGGTCTCTGAGGACAGGCCATAAGGAATAGTCGTACAATGTAGTCTGCTATTGTCTACCAGTATTTGGTTGCTGGATCTGAAAGCTTGTTTACTTGTGTATAACTATTCTAGTGACATCCCACAAAGTTTATGTGCAGAATTTAAAATAAATTTACTTGCTGCTGGGACATACACCAAGAGCCCTGTTACTACTGGACCTGTCATGTCTGGCACTTTTAGGATTTCTGATATAATATTCACTAGGGTTTGTTGAAGCAATGTGAAGATCTGTACTTGATCCACAGTTTGCTCAGAGCTGGTAGCCTGTTTCAGAATCAGGTACTCCAGAAATATTTTCAGTTGATATTTAATTTAGTCAAGTACTTGAAAAGTAAAAAATCCTCTTAGAAAATATATATTTAGAATCTGTATATTTGGGGATTCTCATTTTAGGTTATGAACATGTTGGAATGTTGCTGCATATGCTGTGTCATTCAGGACCTAAAAATGTGATGTTGTGTTTTCTGTCTGTGGGATCGAATCCATTGCTGCTTGTATGATATAATGAGATTTTTTTGTTTTAACCAGCAATTCTCTAGAAAGCCTGTTTTATGACTTTGCTTTCAAGTAAAAGACACTTGTGTTTTGATCTGAAACACGTTTCTTTTTCCACTGTAAGAAAATACTTCTTTTCAAGTTACTTCTGTAGTTTCTGCAAAATCTTAACAAATGAAACAGACGTCCTTGACAATGCTTGTTTCTAAGTTATTTACATGTCAGGTTATTCTACATGCAAAAACTCAAGGTAGCACATGTTAATCAGGAAATTCTTTCAGATCCATGAATCATTTCTTTTGATATGTCTGGGTGGTGGGCTGGTACAGTTGCTGAGTGGTCTATTTTATTTTTTTTAAGTGGTTAGATGAAAGCTCCACATCAATATTTCAGAGTTTAAAGCTGCTAGTCCAGCCTGTTGAACTCCTTGACTTTGATGACGACCAAAGAATTGTCTGCTTGAGGCTTGGGATAGGGAGCCTGGGAATTCTGTGTTCAAGAAAATTCTTTAAAACAGTGGGCTGCTTTTTCTGCCTTTTTTTTGTGTCTGGGGTTGTTTTACAACAGCAGAAGTTACTTAAGGTTGGCAGTCAGGGAATACTGTTTTTCACTGCAAGCTGTGTTGCTTGTGCCAAGGAGCAGACCAATTTTCCATGGTTTTGTTGAGTTAAATTCAGTAGGATTGTGTGATTTGTCAGATCTCTTTTGCATAGGATCACTTCTCAGATAAGTTGAGATGTTACCAGCCGTCATTATTGAGCACTGGTCTTTACAAGTCAGAGATGGGAAGTTGAATGATGTGATTTTTGAAACTAGGATGAGAATATTAATTTGACCTTGTTCAGGTCAACTTTTATCACATACTAAATTTTGGATGTAGGACTACAATGAGGTTTCTCTGGGTTGCTGTTATATGTGCTGCTGAGGTTTCCTGAGAATGTCACTGTCTTCGTTCTGTGGCTGTTCCAAGTGGACCTGAACTTCCTTACAGCTGTGCATTTTGGTCATCTGTAACAGTAGGTGGATGCAGACTTATTTTAAGAATTCTTTAGTGCATATTTTGATGTTTTTGTTGTTGTATTTTGATGGTCTGTGTTTTAACAAGAAGGACTGGTAGAGGTAACCTCAGTCTCACCTATGGCTTGGGTTGCCAGAGCGGAATTGTGGATGTAGTTGCTGATAGCCAGTGGTTTGTTCAACCTTCTTCAGTCTGTTACTTTAGATGACTCCTTGTTTGGATTGTGCCAAAAACCCGTCCCAGATTTGTTCTTAGCTAGCTGTCTTTTCCAGTGATTCTTCTTCAAACATGTGAATAACTCTTTATTCTTTTTTTTTTTCCTCTTTATTCTTCTCTCTTTTCCCTTTGGGTTAACAAACCATTCAAGGCTACTGGGCTGCTCTTTTTCTGCACATCTCTCTGTATCATATGCTTAACATCATATCGTTCATCTGCATTTCCTACTCAAAAGTACAGACCTGTGAAGCTATGTGCCAAATAGCAAAGCGGTATTTTTGTAGTCTGTGGGGAAGTGACAGTCTTCATCCTGATAGCTGTCTTTATAAAGAAGAATTAGAGCTTATTTGTCACACTGGCTCATCTGACTTACTTGCATCTCTGTGATGACCTCTCAAGTGCAAATACACCCAAGTGTGACCTACTTGAAAAGAAGCAAATTTAATTAAAAAATGGCATCTGTTTTGCTTCATCTGTGTAACGACTTCTAAGCTGCTACTTCAAGCTCAGTATGTAATTAAGTGTGCTTAAAATTACTATATATTTAATTCTTGTTTGGGAGAGGGATGTTAAGATCCATTCTTATGCTCTTGGATCACCATTCACCATTGTTAATTATTATGCAATAATAATCTTCTTTGCCCTGTAGCCACCTCACTTCTCAGACTGTTTTCCTGAGGATCACCTTAGCTGAAGTAACTGAGGGAGGCTGGATCCACTTTTCATTATTCCCTGGGGCTGCTCTTAAATAAGGGAGTATGAGGAACAAGTAACCTATAGCTTCATGTAAGCCTACCTCAGGCAAAAATTGGGACTATCCTTAGGTAACATTAATGAATAATTCATCTTTTCTCACCATCAGTCATTAACATGATTCAGTTGGAGCCATAAAGATTTAAAAATGTTTTTAAAGCTTTAAAGCAGTGCATTTCTCTTGGGACCTCAGTTACAGCCATTGTTTCCCACACAAGAGCTGGGAGATGCTGCCGGCCACAGCAGCGGCGCAGCGGGACTGGGCTGTGTCCCTTGGGGAAAGGTGTTGCAGACTGGGCTCTTCTTGCTACGAGGCAGTTGCTGTCCCACATGTACTGAAACACTAATGGCAGACGTGCCAGGGGAGCGTACGGGGAAGGAGTACACATGTCCTAAAAACTGCTCATTCTCCCAGCAGACAGATCAGATTCAGGAAGGCACTGAGCCAGATTTCACCCACGTGCTTCAGTTTAATCAGTCCTGCTGGGGTAGATTCTGAGGTAAAGACTTTGTATCAATTTTGCGCAGGAAATCAGAGCAGCAACTTACTGAAGGATACTATTTACTAATTTTTTAACTGAATATGTCTGTATTCCAGACACAAACCTGACTTTCCTGAAAATAAAGAAATGTTATTTTTTTTAAAATAAATATCTATGTTGGGACCTGTAAATATATATTATCTTCAGAAGTCCTCTTTAATAAGTGTTGTGCTAATGCTGTGAAATGTAAAGGTTTAATGAAAACTAATAAGCTATTCCTGGGAAGGCTGGCTACCTCTCCTCCTTTGCCATTCTCCTTTTAGAAACTGGGCATGAGGTCTCTTGTGCACAGCTGCCTGAAGAGAACAAGTTGTTTAAATGTGCCTATGGCATTATAAGATGAAGGCAGTAGCATTACATTACTGTGAAGAAATACAGGTGCTCGTATCTAGATATAACTCTGTTGTTAGTGGTTTGTTTGTGACTCATTTGAAGTCAATGGAAAAATGAGCAAAGTCTAAATACAGTCTTCTGTAAAGATGTCTGTACAGCTACTTGTTAAAATGATGATGTTTCCAGTTTGGTAAACTCATGTTTTAAACAATATTAAAAAAAAGCTTTTATCAAATTACTTCTTCAGAACTCTAACTTGACTCAGTATATCATTGATATTCGTAGGCAGTAGATATTTCTGTCACATTTCTTTTTAAAGCAACTGCATAAGACAAAATGGGAGTCACAGCTTGAAAACAGTGACATAGAATGAGAATGCTAAGCAAGGTAGCTTTAATATAGAATCACAGAATAGAATAATACAATCATTTAAGTTGGGAAATACTTTAAGATCATCAAGTTCAGCCATAAACCTAACACTGCTAAGTCTACCGCTAAACCATGTTCCTACGTGCTGTATCTACACATCTAAATACCTCCAAGGATGGTGACTCAAGTACTCCCCTGGGCAGCCTGTTCCAATGCTTGACAACCCTTTCTGGGAGAAATTTTTTCTAATATCCAATCTAAACCTCCCCTGGCTCAACTTGAGGCTATTTGCTCTTGTTCTATTGCTTACCTGGGAGAAGAGACTGACCTCCACCTCATTACAACCTCCTTTCAGGTAGTTCTACAAAGTGATAAGGTCTCCCCTGAGCCTCCTTTTCTCCAAGCTGAACAATCCCAGGTCCCTCAGCTAATCCTCATCAGACCTGTGTTCCAGACCCTTCACCAACTCCGTTGCCCTTCTCTGGACACGCTCCAGCACCTCAGTGTCTTTCTTGTAATGAGGGGCCCAGAGCTGAGCCCAGTACTTGAGGTGGGCCTTCACCAGTTCTGAGTACAGGAGGACAACCACTGCCCTGGTCCTGCTGGCCACACTATTGCTGATACAGGCCAGGATACCATTGGCCTTCTTGAACACCTGGGCACACTGCTGGCTCACGTTCAGCTGCTGTCAACCAGCACCCCCACGTCCTTTTCCAGTGAGCAGCTTTCCAGCCAGTCTTTCCCCAGCCTGTAATGCTGCCTGGGGTTGTTGTGACCCAAGTGCAGGATTTAGCCCTTTGCCTTATTGAATTTGATACCATTGGCCTTGGCCCGTCAATCCAGGCTGTCCAGATCCCTCTGCAGAGCCTTCCTACCCTCCAGCAGACCCACACTCCCACCCAACTTAGTGTTCTCTGAAAACTTAGTGAGAGTGGACTCAATCCCCTTGTCCAGATGACTGAGTAAAGATATTAAATGGGGCTGGCCCCAGTATTGAGCCCTGAGGAACACCACTAGTGACCAGGCATCAGCTGGAGCAGCTCCCTTCACCAGCACTCCTTGGGCCCAGCCATCCAGCCAGTTTTTCTACCCAGTGAACAGCGTACCCATCCAAGCAATGAGCAGGCAGTTTCTCTAGAATGCTGTGGGAAATGGTGTCAAAATCTTTACTGAAGTCCAGGTAAACCACATTCATGTTATACTGTTTCAGCCTGAGATTTCATATTAATTATTTTTATTTTGAAGGAGATTACCTGCAAATTAAATGGAAGAGTCTTTGAATGAATCTGCAGATGTTATGGATGAAATGCTGGAAAGATTTGAGCACATTTTGCTCATTATGCCCTCTTCTGCCCCATCATTCAGAGCAGGATGAGTGAAAGGGAAAAGCTTTCCCGCATTTCCAAAAGGAAAAGATGGCTTCTCCATTGAGGACTTGAGAGATAGGAGAGACATGCTTTGCTGTCAACATTGACAGGCAGTAGGATAAAATAAAATGGAGGCTCTTTCACTGAAAAGCTGGAGTGCCAGAGCCTGGAGACTCAGGCTGAAAAGGAAGACTAAACAAAGAAAGGATATTTAAAATTAAAATGTCTAATATTATTTTGTCAAACAAAATAGCCTTCAGAAGCACTCCATTATCCAGAGTGCTCCCAATTCAAATGTGTTCCTTCCAGGTGCTGTTCCCAGTCTCTGCAGCTTCTCATGTATGTACCCAGACTCAGCCTGGCTTACTGCTGTAGGGGGAAGGAGAGGAAGAGCAAGAGTTGCTTCCCATCCAGCCAGTTCACTACTACTGTGTGTGCACAGGATGCTCTGGTTACCCTTATTGACTGGCTGAAAATAAATACCAGTATTTGGTATTTATTTACACGATGATCTGTATGGCAAAATTGATTTATTTGAAATGCAAATTATAATTTATGTTGAAAAACAATTGCTTTTCAATTTAGAGCTGTAAAAATAGTCTTACATTGGAAACTGAATGGGTGAGACCATTCACTTTGTTTGACTTTTCTGTTGTTCTTCATCCTGTTTCAGCTTTGCTTGTCTGCTACACACATCTGAGCTCACTGTGTATTAGTTATGTGCAACTGCATTGTAAATGGACTAATGTGTGCTCAGAGTCAGCAAAGTCTATGTGATACATGTGTTATGTGCTGCACGAGCTTCAAGAACAGCAGCATAACAAAACATTTGCTGCTTTCCTACTGCTTCTGGAGTATTTTTTAGAGTTTTCACAATTTTCTTATTAATTTTGCCTAATTGATCTGCCTGGAAAACCTTAATACCCTGCAATATTTGAAATTCCACAGTGTTATGTCACTGAACTGTCTTTGACAGTTCTGACAACAGGATTTGGTTAATGTCACAATAGAATGATACTTGAAGCTGAATTGATCCTTGCATTTGGATGGGAAACCCAGCCAACCTTTTGCACTCAGAAGATTTGCATGCAACACTGCTGTACGGAATTTCTTTGTTTCCCTAGAAACAAAGTGTCCTGTAGTATCAGTCAGATGGGAGGTAGCATGTTACTGTAACAAAGTAGCAGGATAAATTTTAGATTGCAAACTTGAAGATGTAGTTAGAGATTAAAAGCACAAATAATAAGGAAATGCAAATGTGAAACGCATTGTCATGTGTCTCTAGTATTTGGGCTTTTGGGTATTGGGGCTTTTGGTAAAGCATCTTTTTGAGGTTTTGAAGCAATATAGCCTGAAGCTCCAACAAATGGGTTCAAGGATGTCTTTCTCTGAATTACTTGGTAGAGGCTGGTATGCTTTCGTCTTGGTTTAACTATTGTTTTACCTGTGGAATATGATTTATCCTTTAAAGAGTAGAAAAGACTCTTTCACCAAAATCTAGCTTTCTTTACAAGGAATACAATGCATGCTGTGATATTGTGCATAATGTTTGACTTTTTGGTGGTATGAATTGTCCTTTGGTTTAACTAGCATTTAGAGACACTTTATGACATGCTAGTAAGCTCTTATGATTTTGGAGACAGCTTTGTCATCCTGTGTTTGAGTATTGTTCTCTGTAAACAATGAAAATACCATTCAATAGCAGTTGATAGTTATTAGCCTTCACATACATTTCAGAGAATTCTCTGACCTCAAGAATCGTTAAGTTATATGTGGAAATTGAGAGACCTGAAACATCCTGGATCTTTGCTCTGCGGTTTGACTGGTTTAGAACAATCAAAAATGATATAATGTAAACTCTCCTAGAGTGTGTGCTAGAAGGGAACTGCATGTTTGTCATTTTCTGTTAGTCTTTTTTGCAGTGGTTTATCTTCCTTGTTCAGGTTTGGTTAATTCTTGTGTTTGGACTTTTCTGTGCCTACCAAATGACGTAATTGGCAGTAACTGGGTAAGAGTACAGACTTATTTTTCATGAAAACAGAACAGTGTGGAATTGAGGTTTTATTCAGGTGACTGGAGTTTTTCAGAATATTTATTTCAAAGGAGAATAACTTCTCTCTAAGCATGTGCTTCTGGCAAGATGTGATGGGCTGAGGAGGATGTGCTGGCTGCTGGAATATTGCACAGGGATGGCTCTGCTGTGCCTGCCAGTGGTGAGAGCACAGCGGGGCTTTTCAAATTGCTGCTCGAAATGTTTCCCAGTGGATATGTTATGGGGTGGGATTAATGGGATTAATTCCTGTTTTTCCTTGCTGCTCGAGGTGTAATAGGAGGCAGTTCCTCATTCTTGAGAAGTGTAAGTTCAGAATACTTTGTTGACTGGAAGTCCTTAGACTATCTAAGACATTTTCCCATAAGCAGTTAGGTTAATGTTAACATCAGGTTAAGAGAGTACTTGAGACATGTCATCTTTTTAGAGTGAGAACTGAGAGACACTTGACTACCCAAGAGGAGGTAGGACAGTTGTGTGTGTTATTTGTTCCTCTGATCTCCTTCCTGTATTCCTGTGTAATGCTTCCTCTTGTTCACAAGCAGTATAGCATTTCCTTAGGAAGCTTTTTTTGAATTTTCAAATTCTAAACAGTATGAGTGGCAAACTAATAGTCTTTCTCCAAAAAGCAAACACCCTCATGTATTTTCTTATTATCTTTTTTTTCCGTATTGGACTTGTCTAACTGGGTTGTCTAATTATGCTACTGCCTTTAGGAACAATACAGAGAATAGCTGTAACAAATGCACAAGTGTGTTTATGGGAGTATGGCAGGCACTGGTTATCCATTTATATTCTACAGGAGAACCTGTTTCATTCAGAGCTCTTGGAAAATGTTCATGGAAACTCTTAGGGAATTAGGACAGCTGGTCTAGCAGACTTTGAAGTCTGCAACACAGCCGGCTGACCGGCATTCCCAGTGCCAACTGGCTCAGCAGCAAGTAGAGACAGCAACTGTGATTTTGGCTTAGGAAACCCCATATATATAGAAGATGACTTGATGACAGGCAAGACTCAATAAATCTGGTGACATAATTGAACTCTGTTAACCAGTGTTTGCTCTGTTGGGATTAAACAACACCCTGTGTTATCAATTAAAACTCATTATTTTTTCTGTATTTCCTTTCTTCAGAGTAAGAACTTAGTATCTTCTCATTTAGTGTCTTCCTTTGGAATATCTGTCAGAACATTATTTTAACAGATGATTGAATTAGATTTCAGCTACTGTATGTCAGTGCCGATCTTTAGTCATTGTCAAATTTCAAATGAAATGTCATCTGGAAGTAAGTCGTATGCAAAGCTACAGGAGTTTGGCTCTGCATCTGTCAGGAGACTTTGTGAATAATCAGATTTCCTGAGAGGCTGTGGATTTCTCACTTCATTGACTGATGCTTTTTGCCTTATAGTACAAAAATAGAGAAGGAGAAAAAAGAGCATGCTAAGCTACATGGGATGATCCGTACAGAAATAAGTGGAGCTGAAATTGCAGAAGAGATGGAGAAAGAAAGAAGGTTCTTCCAGTTACAAATGTGTGAGGTAAGATGCAACATGAAATTCATATTGTTCTGCTGCTGTTTTTAGGAAAGATTTGAAAAACACAGTTGTTTAATGGCAGTTGTGACACTAAAGGGAAATGCTGAGTTATTTGTGGCCTCCATTTGTGAAAACACATTTTTTTTTATCATCCAGATGTGCAAACTTTGGAGGGAATTTAGATATGTTCTAATTTCACTTAACAAGTAAATTAATGCAAAGCTCAATAAAACACTAAGAGATTATAATAAATAAGCCTTTACACTACTAATTCACTGTAAGTTATTTTAAGCCCTAGATCATTCTCTGAATTGTTCCCTGTGCTGACAGCTGTTGCGTTATTATGAGGAGAGACTCTAGTCTAGCACAGTGCTGGGCTGGTGCAGAGAAAAAGTGCTAAGGATGGAATCCAGTTGTCTTTCAAGATGTTTCAGAATGTTTCTATTTGGAAGTCTTTGTGATTTTGCAGTATGTTAAATCTCATGTGAATATTTTTGGTTTGATTTGTTTAAGGACACATCTGGTTCCGTGGTTGGGAATTCAAGTTGCTGTGTTCATTTTTTCTGTGCATTAACTCAAAAATATACCATGGGTGATTTTACTGTGATGAGTATAGCTAATTTGACTCATATGCCAGCATAGCATAACTGCAGTTGTCCTGAATACCACTTCTAGTAACTGCATGCACTCATACCTAATAGAAAAGCTTCACATTCCTATACGGAGTCAGACTAAAGTGTTCAAAACCCAGAAAGGGATTTGAGTACCCGATAAACATATGGATGTTGTCAGCTGATTGCCCATCTGTATCCCTCCTAAGAAACAACCAGGAACAGATGCTTCTCCCTTGCTGTGTCACAGTAAAGGCGAAGTTCACGTGAATCAGTTGTAGTGGTAATGCAGGGTGAAGTCTGTGAAATTGGATCAGGGTACCTCAAATGTAGAATAGCTAAAGTGTATCCTGTATTTCTTCTGATTTTGAAGAAAAAAGTTTTTAGTTGGTTACCTCTGAATAGTCAGAAAAGGGGACTTTTTGATAACGAAAGCTATAAAATCAACAGGTAGATTTTAAAAATTGTTAAAATAATCCCTCACTTTTTTTTTCAGTAAAATGGTTTCCTCCTTAATGACATCTGTTTAGCAATGAATTTAACAACTAGTGAGACACATTCTTAGATGTGCTGCTAGGTTTATGAATGGTTTTCTAAATCTACCTCACAAACACTTCCATGCTTTCTTTAATAGAGGCTTTCCCTAGGAGCCATAAAGGATGTTTTAACAATTTGAACAAATCATAGTGAAATATCCTCACAGGATATCAAAAATCAGCAGTGACAAAAGTCCATTTGTGTGATTTAACCCTCGATGCCACTTTTTGATGCACTCTCTTTTAGGTCCTGTAAATCTGTAACTGTTCAAGCTTATTGAAATATAACTGAAAATAAATGTTTAAAAAAAACACTGTAGCAGTAATAATTGATTTCTTTTGTGAATTACTGTTTTAACAGTATCTACTGAAAGTCAATGAGATCAAGATTAAAAAAGGAGTGGACTTGCTTCAGAACTTGATCAAGTACTTTCATGCTCAGTGCAAGTATGTTTTAGTTTTCTTTATACCTACACAATAACTGGAGCAATGTTTTGTTTTCAACTTCTGACATCATCACAACGCTTTTCTAGAATTTTCAAAATAAATATTAAGATTCAGATTGCTTTTGTCATAGACAAGTAATTCCTTTTGTCACTATTTTCTGGAACATGTAACGAGGTTGAAGTTGTTGGTTGAAAGGAGTGCCAAACAATAATTTGCCATGTTTATAAATTACTCCTGAAACAGAGCTATTCGTTTGGTCTATTACTTAGCAGTCCATTAGTTTTGATGGACTTTTTTGAGTGTATCTGGCAATGATATAAATTAATTCTCTGCTAAAGAAAAATAAATTGCATAAGCAGTGGGTTTAAACTATATTAAAAGAATCACTCTTTTTCTAGTTAATTGGAGGACCCGGTAATAAAACATATAGTTCTCATTAGAATTATGTACTTTTTTATGATAGTCTTACAAATCAGTAATGTAGCAATGAAGTCACAGCTATAACCTTGAAAGAGCTGCTGCTAACCTGTTGAAATCAGTAAGTTTTCTTCTTCAAACACCAGTTTGCATCTATGTATTTTTTTCCCTATGTTGCTTTTAAAATCAGTTTTACCTGTGGTATGTCACTTATCTGCTCTGTCCATTTAATAGCAATTCAACAACATAAATGCTGTGCTGTGTTGTCACTTTCATGTCTACTTCCCAGAATGAAAATATTTTCTGTTGCAAACAATGCAGCAATTTTTAATCAAATATGCATGTAATTGTGGTTTCTTAAAATTTATTTTTAAAATCAGAATTACTGAGTTTTTTAAGAACTGGAATACTGGGCATAGATAATGTTACTCTGCCAATATAAAAATACATATAATACAGTAAGATGTAACATATTCAGTTTACATGTAGACTATAGTTAATGCTTGGGAAACAAAGGGGATTTCCTTTAGTAGGAAGATTGCATCAGACGTGAAATTATTTGGCTTCAAGAAGTCATAATTATTTTATATCTACTAGAGCTTTTGCTGTTCTACAAATGAATCTTGCTTGTTCTGGGCCTTCACAAAATGGGATGAGAACCTGTATTTGAGGTGAGAATGAGGAAAATTTATGTGGCAGTGGATTGTGGCAGTTCTGAATCTAATTGGGGATTTTGCATGTTAGAATAAGCTATGATGGAAATAAAGAGGTGGATCAGCCAAAGATGCATTAAAAAAGAGTTTAATGTTTTGAAGTTTATGGCATGGCATAATAATATGCACGTCTTCCTTCGGCAATTTTTTAAGCAGAAAATACAAAGTGAAGTTTAATAACAGCTTGCTTTTTGCTTTTCTTTTTAAGTTTCTTTCAGGATGGGTTAAAAGCAGTTGAAAGTCTGAAGCCTTCAATCGAGACGCTCTCGACAGATCTTTATACAGTGAGTAGCAACCTTTCACATTTGTGTTGTAAGTTTAGTTTTTTACAGTGGAAGCATGAACATTTTGGTTCAGATTGGCTGACTGTTTTAGTAGTCAGCATTTTAAGGTTTTCAGTAGATTGTTGAGAAAAATCTTGTTCCAATATAGCATTTAGAAGCCTTAGTTTTAGTTCAAGACCCCACTGTGTAAAGTGTTAGGAAAACAGCCTTTGCTCTAAAGTGTTTACTGACTAAGTGGAAAAGAACATGTGGTTTCAAATGGAACACAAGGAAGCAAGAATATTGTGAGGCAATATCAGTCTTAACCCAGCAACATCCTTGCCATTATCAAGTTTTCTGAAGATATAAAGGAAAAAAAATTGATCACATTATCTTTTCTCTTTGTTTTCATTCTTGATGAATATTTTTTAGAAAAATGAACAATTAAGCAGCAAATTTGAAAGACCTGCGTTGAAAATAGAAAATAACGTTATTTTTAACCTGTGTTTTTATTCATTCAAGATTAAACAAGCACAAGATGAAGAAAGAAGACAATTAACACAGCTTAGGGATATTTTAAAATCAGCACTCCAAGTTGATCAGAAAGAGGTGAGCATATAAGGTGGTTTAACTTTGTAATACCTATTTTAATTACTTCTAATGTAATGTTAGTATTCAAAACAGTTATTTTAACATTTATCAGCCATCTAATTTCTTTTGTTCATTCATCTTTGTTTTGATGTTGATATTGAAGTGTGTGACAAAAATTTTTAAATTAATGCCCACTAAAAATACAAGACTTACTGAAAAGTAATTTCTTTGTGTTGCCAGTATTGCAAAATAATTCAGATGGTGCACTGTTGCAGACTGAGAATGAAAGAACTTTGGCAGTATCAAGGAGACCCTATTCGTGGAACCTTATCTCACAGTACTAATCCAAACTGTGTAAAGATTATGTGAAACTGAACTTCAAATCCCAAACCACCTCTGTCATCTGCAAAAGTAACAATTAAGTTTGCTACTCTGCTGCAAGATGCCAGGGTTCAAATGTGCAAGGGCTGGGGCAGTTTGGCAATCCAACAAATAAGTATTTTTTGAGTTTTGATTGATTGCCGTTAGATTTAATGAGTTCTGGAGTAGTTTCATTTGCAGACTCTGATCTGGAAGTAAGCGTCTTTTGTATACTGTAATCCTAAATATTGGGTCTACTTTTGTTTCAGATTGCTAGTGCTTCCTCTTCATATAAATAAATGCTTGCCAGCTTCCTTTGTGTGGCTGCTGGGCCATGAGAAGTGATGAATGAGCCCCCTCCCCCTTTTCAGATTCTCTTTCTGAAGGGGTCATGATGAAATAGTTTAGTCTGTAGAGCTCAGACTTCCTTGATCTTTTCCGGTCTTGCTTTGATCTTCCCATAAAAGTTACGGTGACTCCTGGCTTTTACTGGTGACAGATGATGGTTGTTGAGCAATGTAAATGAGTGAAGGATGTCCCTGCCCACAGCTGGGGGTTGGACTGGATGACCTTTAAAGGTCCCTTCCAACCCAAATCCGTGTGATTGTGTGACCTGCTGACAGGCCTTTGGAACAGCCTTGAACGCTCTTCACTCCGAGATGCTGTTTGTTACCTTTTGAGGTTTGTGATGATGACCATTATGGACGAAGCTCCATACAGGCTACAGGCCCTTTCTTAGATTCTGCCTGGCATTCAGGACTCACTGATTTGCCAAAAACTTCCAAATCTGAGCTCTGCAGAATTAGAAACTAGTGATCCTCATGGAAATGGTGACTGCTTTGGGTTCACCATTGATTGCCACTCTCAATAAGAAGTCATTACTGTTTGGAGTGTGTTAGCAGGCTTCTTATTTTAATTGGGTCATTGCTCAAGGGGGATACCAGAAGCAGTTGGGTGTCGTGGTTGCTGCAAATGTTGCTTCTCTGTTTACCTCTTTATCAGTGATACTGATAGTAAATGTATATGGAAACCATGATGAGTACACATCTGTTCATAGACTCATAAATTAATAATACACATAAATTTATTATTTCTGCTGGGTTTGTGACATTTAAAAATGCAAGCATAAAAAGTGCTTTGTGCTATAGCTATTATTTATTAATTCTGCAAATCTAGATATAGATGCTTACCTGCAGAGCACGAGAAATATAATTATTTTTAAAGTTTTTTTGAAAACATCAGTTAATCAGTGGGATGCCAAAGAGCTGTGATATAATTTACTGTTCAACTCACTAATATTATTCTTGTTGCACTGTAATTTCCTTTACTATAACTGATTTCTTTTTCCTTCCTAAAATGCATTTACATTTTGTGACCGAAGTCTAGGAGAGTAAGTGTTACCATGTTTTAATGAAAATAGTTGGCATGATTTCCATTCAGATTTCAAGAAACTGGATTTTTCCTTTGAGCTCTTGTCTGTTGACATGAAAAGACTGGTTCTTTCTTTCTTCACTTGGGTTTGTTTTATTACCAAAAAGGAAAAAAAAAAAGTTACCATATTCTTCTTGGGAAAGAAAATTGCTGTAAGACAAATTGGTGATTTCTGTGACGCTTTCTTTTGGAAAATTAAATCCAGTTGCTTGATTTGATGTTCTTGCAAGATTTTGAAAATATATGTACTTTTAATTAAAATGGACTTCATGTAAGAAATGATGGAATGTTGACAAATATCGTTTCTGTTGTGTTTAAAAAAAGAAAACACACAAGCACTCATAGTGAACTTTCTTTTGTTGTGCCTGTAAATGTAGTTTCCTCCTGCACAGAACTTCCTCAAACCTGGTTTGTATTGAAACTTCTTTTTGAAATGTCATTTCATGTACATCTTCGTAATTTTTAATTTTTAAACTTTCAGTTTTCAAACTATAGAGGTCTTGCAAGTTTTGGAGTCACCCTTAGAGTCGTATTGCCTAAACTGTTCTCGTTTCATGACCTTGGGTGAGGTTGTCTCCTGTGACTGTAGTCTTTAGATTTGCTTCTACTTCTTTGGTAGAACCTGTAATCTATTTAGGCCTCTGTAAAATATGACAAATTTTGTGTTTCTTGACAAAAATGATAGTAGCTGTGCTATAGGAAAGACTGCCTGCAGGGGGTTCTGGTAGATATGTCTTTTAGAGGCTCTGTGGGACTGTAATAAATAAGGATGGATCTCTGAAACATCCTGCAAATGCCAGAGAAGTTCAGCTCCGGAAGAGCTGTAAGGACTTTTTTGGCAGCTTTATACACAGGAGTGATCTGAACAGTCTAAAAATCTTGCTCCATAGGAGCTGTGGAATGACTAGCAAAAAATTTGTGGTGTATAATTTGAAGCACCTTGTATTGGAAAGGTCTATTGTGTTCACATAGTGGGGCTGATAAATTGGATTTTGGAATATCTCTTACCAGTAGTCACAGACCATCTTTAGAGAATACTGTTTTCAGATTTATTTCATTTTTAGCTATGCTGTTCAGCTTGAAGTCAGTCTGTCTTTATAACTTCGGAACAAATAATTTCCAACCTCTTTATGGTCAGGGAAGTGGTTCACTAAAAACATGCTGCAGTTAAATGACTCACCTTTTTTTTTTGTGCCTATCTGCATTTCGAAGCTGATAAAGTGGTCAAAGTTCAGTTTCTTAGGCTTGTGTACCTCAGTCTGTTCTGATTTTATTATGTTCAAGAGATATTTAAAATGACAATACTCTGTGCTAGGTATGTCCTCTATCCTGTGGTGATCCATTTCCTCCCATAGGTAATGTACATTGTTGCTGCTCCTCAGATGAGGCCATTGGGTCTGACTCTGTTATCTGTGATTTGTATCTCTGGTATGTGCAATATGCAAACCAGAAATAAGGGAAGATCCTTTGGAGAGCCTGCATATGGAAAAGGCATGCTGAAATTGTCTGGAAGGATGTTAATTGTGATGGTGATTTGTGGGATGGCATCCTGTCTGTTAGGAGATAGATCAAAATCATGCACTACTCATCAGAGAGCTGTGGAAAACCGTCATCTGGCAATCACCTTGGGCATTACTGATCTGGACATGACCTGAACTGAGGATTTAAAATGGCAAATATGTTTGTCCTTAGGTTCTTTTCATGAAATAGTATTAAATTTTTTAAAGATACTGTTCATAGTAATGAATGTGTGGAAATACACGTCAGCTACAGCAGCTTCCTCTCCTGCTGAAATAAGGCAGGAAGCTTGTATTATTGGTTTGCCAGTTTGGCCAAACACAGCAGCTGAGTGTAAAAAGCTGAAGGGAGGGATCTGAAATGCAGCAGAAAATGATGCACAAAAAGGAGCAGCTCAGACTTAAGTAATGGGAGTGGTGCTATGAGCAGGTGTTGGAGGTCACCTGAAATCTTTACATAATTGAGGATGGGGAGAACTGAAATTAATTTCCTGTACGGCCTCTAATCTTCCCGGGAATGGAGTTCCTTTGCTGACTAATGGGAGGCAGAGATCAAGGCATTGGTAGGGCACAACTGGCAGTGTCAGATCAGATTTTCTTCAGAAGTCAGTAAATGTACACGTGCAGTGCTTCTTAATGAGAGACAGGAATTTTTTATAAATGTTGTGGCTCTACGTTGTGCAGACAGAGTGCAAAACCAAATAATTCTGTGTAAACAAACTGGAGAGGAACGATAAACAGACTGGTTTAAATCTGAAGGTATGCTTTGTCAGGCACAAACATTTAAGTAGTGGTTTTGTAGTGCCTTTAAAAGCCTCAGATGCATGTTGTATCTACCTAATACAGCTTCCTAGATCGCTAGCTGAGAGTCAGGGAAGTGGGCACAGGTTGCTTCTGCTGAGAAGAAGCACCAAGGAGGGTTGCAGCCTGTGTTGAGCTCAGCTCATGGTTCTCAGGACCACTGAGCTCCAGCACTGTGTTCAGGATGAGCCTGAAATCCTACAGCTTGGAGGTATGGAGTCCTCAGTGCTCTGAACAGGGGTGTAGGTGGTAGCTCTGTCCCTACCATCAGGTTTAGAATAGCTCATAGTCATGTAAGCGAGCTGCTTTGGGGGTTTTTCCCTTGCTATACTTGTATTATCTGCCTTATATAACAGAAGTGTAATTATGTCCATAAAGCAATGATAATAGAAAAAAAAGCAATTACAGGTGTTAATCATTGTTACTGTAGGCATTTAAAAGTCCATCCTGTCATGTTTCTGCTGCTAATATAGCATGACACATCAGATTCCTCATTTTTAGGTTCTTATTTTTTAAGAAGGTGGATTCTTGCAGCAGTGAGTCCTGCCTCTGGGTAGTTCTGAGAGCAGTGAGAAGGGTTTAGTTAATCCTTGTCTCTTCCAGGACCAGAATTCGACTTTGTTCAAGATATTTTGCTTTAAATTATTCTTCTTCTGGAAATGATTTTTCAGTTTTCCTATATGACTCCTGAACTATATTACCAGGAGGTCTCTTGTACTTTTCAGACAATAACTTGACTCAGTTTCCACAAGGAAAATCACTTCTTCAGATTGATGTATGTAATTCTTTTTGTTACGATGGAAGGGTAGACTAGCAATTGCAGGTAATAATAATCTTTAATGTTTGTACCCTGTAGTGTTTGCATGAACTGGAAAACCCACTGCTTAATTAAATTTTGAGCTAAAACCCCAATATATTAAGGCCAATAGTAAATCTAAATAAAGCAAGTAAAAGGATTTTGGCAGTTGCTGATAATGACTACTTATCAAATGTTTTTTGTGCCCTCTGAAGAAAGAAATGGATCTTGTTCTTTCTCATTGAGGGGGAAAAATATGCTTCATTTGGCCTGTTGGATTAGAGCAGAAGGAGAAGCTCTGAAACTCATTAATGGGGGGTTAGTTTGGTTGAAAGTGTGGAATGCATTATAAATTGCTGTTGGTTATTTCAGGATTCTCAGCTTCGGCAGAGTACAGCTTACAGTTTACATCAGCCTCAGGGAAACAAGGAGCATGGCACTGAACGGAATGGTAGTCTGTATAAGAAAAGTGATGGGTAAGTACTGCTGGAGTCTACTGGAAAAAACATTAGGTCTTAAGAACTGAAGCACTGTCATACAAAATATATTTAAAACTGAGTTACCTTTTTTTTTCCCCCCTTTAAACTAGAATCAGAAAAGTGTGGCAGAAAAGGAAGTGCTCAGTTAAAAATGGTTTTCTTACAATTTCCCATGGTACAGTAAGTATTTGTTTTCAGTATTTTATGTACATGGTTGCTAATACAAAAAGGCAGGATCTGCTGGTCTATATTTGTAATTTGGAATTAGCTAGATTCCTGATTCAGTGTTTTGAATATGAGTGATATTATTTTTTTAAGGCAACTTTTCAGAAATATATCAAGACATACACAGCATCTAAAAATACAGCTATTCTAATGCTTATGACTATTAATGGGAAAAAAGGGCTTTTTTAGTGACTCAGTACATGTAAATGTTCATATTTTACCAGTCTATCTAAAAATACAAATTCAAACTTTTTTTTTTCCAAAGATATAATTGGGCATGAAGCCATCTTTTAGATAGGAGTTAAACAACTTTTTATATTTGCCAGATAAACTGAGAGTAGATTTGCAAGTAAACTGAGAGTGTGCTGAATCTCTTCTCTCCCCCAGATTTGCTGCTATGTTGTAGTCTGTTAGGAAGGTAGCTCCTGAGAAGTAGCTGTTGGTGAAAGCCAACTCTGAAAACAACTTCTGCCAGAATGACAGGAAATAGAGAGTTACAAGTCCCTCTCTTTTACTGCTACCAATATTTGAAACACATTAGGCATAAATATTTAAAGTTTGTTAAAATTCTAAAAATGTATACTTCCATGTTTTGGACCTTTTGCACTTGGCTTTCAACTTGATCTTGCTTTCCTGTAACTTTTTTCTTTTTATACTGTTTTCTCAAAAAATTTGAGAAACTTTCTTAAGGCAAAAAATAACTCAGTGACTCTATTTCCCATTCTTGGTCTAATAAACAGTCCTGTTTCTTGATCCTGTTATGAACTTTTCTGTTCTTCATCCTGTTATGCCTGTTGCTATGGCTACAAGTTGACCCTGGCAGCATAAATGAATCAATCTCTCATTTGTGCATCTAACCATAAGCTGTTGCCTTCAGAATTGATAACCAGGAGTTAAGGAGGAGTGTAAAGCCAGGCCTGCAAAGCAGAGTCATTACTATGGCTTTGGAATTGTCCACCAGTTTATCCCTCTTGTCATTTGAGTGTGTATGAGTTGTGTTTGTCAGAGAAAAGTCTGTTAGTGTATTCTGTGCTGGTGTCTGTGAGTGCTGGGATTGCACTTGGTGCTGGACATGCTGTGCTGGTACCAGTCAGAGCGTAGCTGGGGCAGCTCAGAGCTGGCAGGGGCTACAGAATCCACCTGGGGAGCAGAATTTGAGAACTTTCACATGCAAGTACAGTTATTGAGTCTATCAAGATACTGCTTTCTTCTCTTTTTATAAGCTGTCTACCAGATGGTCTGACATTTTTAGAAGCAGTAAGTTCCCACTGAAAACAGTGGAGCCGTAGCTGGAAATCAGTTCGTAGATAGTTTAATGTGAGTTCAGATATGTGAGTTTCACAGGTTTGGTCTTGATTTTCCTATATTACAACATTAAAAGAGTCCCTTCTTGTTTTAAAATATGCTCCTAAAAAGTATTTTTACTTATTTACTCACTTCCCCCTTATGTATTGATGGCAGTTTTATGTAAAAAGTTAATGAATATTTCGTAGACACTGAAATGAGTAGAAGTGATTTCTGTTTATTAAGAATTTTTTTAATACCTTCTGAGAATACTGAAGGAACAACATTGATGTCCAAGCTTTCTCAGGGTTGATATCTCCTGTCTCTGAAATATGATGTGCTGTTCTCTTGTCCCAGAAGTTCATTAAAATGAACCATCTCTCACAAATTCAGTTGACAGTTTTGTTTTCTTTATGAAATACAAATTTGTAAATGCTTTTCCCTTAAAGGCTAAGTATTCTTCATGGATTTCTCTTCTTTGGTCATGTAGCCTCTCTTTGAGGGACTATTTTTTCAGTTAGTTTCTAGAACAGCTGTCCTCAGGCAGTTGCAGATGCTGTATTCTGAGTTAAACTTGCCTGCCAAGTGCTCTCCTGACTCATGGGGAGAATATGGTTGGTTTTCAGTCGCCCAGCTGTGGTCCTGAATGTACCTGCCTGCATTGCAGAAGTTATACTTTTAGACAGCTAAAAGCTTCAAAGAAATTAGCATTCATAGAGCAACGTGCAAGGTAATGGCTGATGGAAAAACAGACACTGGTCCTTTGTGTAATTATTAGTAGTCGGAAATTTCCTGACATCTATCTGACTGCAATTTAACGTACATGGAGGAAGAAACAATGACAGAAGCAGGTTGAACCATGTAATTAGGAATTCCTAAGTGCTTTTCAGATCAAGAAGTCACAAAGAATAAACTTAGATTTCAGAAATGTCAGATTCCTCAAAGTTGATTTGTGTTTAAAGAATTTAAATGAAATTTGCTGGTTGTCTGCAAAAAAAGGAATATAAGATAGCCTCATTGTTGAGGAATCTTTCTTTGTTATTCTTTCTTTACTACTGGGAAGTTTAATCTACCATGATGATTAACAGGACAATCTGAAGACAAAACAATCAGATTTAATATTTTTATTCTGAAGTTAATCACTGTGATATCCAGAGAAATATGCATGATGAAATCAGCCAACCAGTCTGTTAAGTGGACACGTTAGCTTGTGCCTTTTGTAAAAGTCAACTCTGTACCATGGCACTCCTGTACTGTTTCAGATGCCTAACCTTTTGATTCCTACACTTACTGTTTGTTGCTGGAACAGATCCAGTCAGTCTTACAGGATAGGGGATTGCCTTTTCTTCAGGAAGTAGCATGAGTTGATGCTTAGGTCTGTGTATGGCATGTTAAGAGCAGCACATCTTTTGAGGGTTGTTAACATGCTTGTTAACAAGGTGTCCAGAAATTCAGCAGTTTTCTGAACAGAGACTTGAGCAGGAAAACGAAGCTCAGAGGATTCAAAGTAGCATAATAGCAGTTACACATTTGTTATCATTTTCTACATCCAGTGTCTCCTAATCCCGCCAAATGTCCAGATCCACCTACAGTAGCTTCGTGTGGCTAAAGAATTTGTACAGCCTTACCTCTCTTTGTCTTTTACCTCCAACTTCTCCCCAAGCACCATCTGCCATGTGATGTATACACGTTGTCCACCAAGTAACAGGCAAGTGTCAGGGTGGTGGGTGGAGATAGACTGTTATTTGCTGCAGGGTAGAAGCACGAATGAGGTGGTATCAACCACATGCTAAGGGTTTTTAAAACCCTTGTTAATGCTGATTTCAGGTTAGGAGATCCTCAGATAAAAGCTTTAGAATATGTGTGTAGAATACATGTGGCCCAGGATGTGTTCCAGGTTGTTGCAGCCATTTCTTTGGGTTCTCCGATCCCGATACAGAGTTATTTATGCTGCATTCTCTTGTCCAGAGAGAGGAGTTCTGTGTGCGTTGGTCTTACAGACCTCTCTGAAGTATTTTAATGCATTCATTTACAGCTTCATATTTCATAAGTTATAGAAAACTAATTAGGTCCCAAATGCGCTTCAGATCCAAAGTCCTGGGACAAGGAGATTCTCTCTTAACCTAAATGTACTTGCATTTTTACATTCTCACAGAGGCTGTGAGAAAAGTATATGTGAGTTGCCCAGTGTCTATCTAATTAATAATTTATAAATATTTCTATGTAAATATATGTAATTATATACTTATATATAATTTATAACTAAATAATTAAATCTGTATGCACTTTTACTACTAAAAGGAATGTCTGGAATTCGAAAAGCTATTTATTAGGCAGAGAATACAATGTGGTTGTCAATAAATTGTCGTCTTGCTGCCTCTGAAACCTCTCTTGGGTATAATTCATTTTACATTGACCAGCAAGTGACCTGCAGGTTTATTGTTTCGAAGCTTGCATGACTTTGTTTTGTCTGCTGCTTATGCTGGGCAAAGCATGAGCCTGCTGTTTTTCAAGGACACCATGCTTCTTCTTTTTTTTTTTCAAACAGGAAAAAAAACCCATAATTTTTTTCCCTTCTTATGTTTCTCTGTGGTTTGATTTTTTAAACTGGTGTTCAGATAAAATGATGTTGTTCTTTTTTGGCCAGCTACATTGTTTTATCAGATTGTTTCAAGGGAATCTGTACTCTTTGGACTTGTTGTCCCTTCTTTTTTTGAATTAAATGTTTTCATCAATAAATTTAAAAGAGATTATGAGAATATCTATGTTTGTTATGATTCATTGCGAGTTAATTACCTTATGTGATAGTTCAGCTTCATTTGATAATGTGTTTATGAATGTTGCTATCTTTATGATAGTACTTTCCTAATCTTTTAAATGACTGTTTTTCAGATATTATTGCCTATCCCCAAATCTTCGTGAAGCCTAGCCATGATTGCCTAGAGCAAAGGCTCACTAGTTAAATCTGTTTTCATGATTTAATTACTCTAAAAGAAGAGTGAAACTAGTTATCCATTGTAGGAAGTGCAAACCATTCTTCAAGTCACGTTTACAAACATGTCTTTCTAGGTCCTACCCTCGGTCTGTAGAGCAGGTGGGTTAAGGGAAAGAAGAGGTTAGTGCAGAGGTGCTATTTGAAAAGTCTTTGTAGACTTTATGAGTCTGTTTCAAAATGCAGGTTGCTTATGCAGTTTGCTGTGTTTTAGGAAAATATTGCCACTTTCTATTAAAAAGATCGCTGAGAGGAACTTGACTAGAAACTTGACTAGAAAACACATATCATTATAAAATACATTTTGTTTTACTAGATTTTTTAGTAGTCGACTAGCTCAGTTTAGTTTTACATATTCTTGCTTCAAGACTTCTCTGTGCAAGCTTCCTATTTCTTTGATGTGTACCTTTACTGATTTTAAAATTGAGCATTTGTTCTAAACTGGTTACCTAGGACCCTTCAAAGACATTGGCAGGAGTCAAACTATTTCATTACTGAAAACTAAACAACTGAGTTTTTTAAAGTAAATGTCTCAGTTTTAAGGGATTAAATGTAGGATGAACCTGTCTCTTTTTCATGCCTGATTCCTTCAGATAAGTGTTACTGGTTAATGATAATTGAAGTGATTTTACCCTCTTCCCCTTTCAAAATTCTAGTGTCTATCCAGTTACTAGTGAATAAAATGTTCAAATATAAGTAGTTTAAAAACCATGATGCAGATGAAAACATGAATCAAAACCTGGGTACCTTAAAAATTAAAGAGCCATTTGTCAAGTCTTCTTGGCCAGTGGGATGCTGTCCTATGTTTTCAAACTGCAGGGCTCAGTCAGTATCAATGTACTAAAATGTGTGCATTTTATCTTCAAATAGGCTAACCGACCTCCAGCAAAGCTCAATCTGTTAACCTGCCAAGTGAAAACAAACCCAGAGGAGAAAAAATGTTTTGACCTCATATCACGTAGGTTTGTTGTTTAGGTCTTTCTACTTGCAGCTCATAGCAGAGTTTTGCATTATTTCTGTAGATGTGTCAATAATCCACTTGAACATTTTTACAGTTATAGAATTCTTCACTTTATAAAATGCCCTTCCTACGACACTTTGACATTTCACTTATTTTAGCATAATGCAACTAACTGTACCCGTTTCTTTGGAAAACCACTTGTTTTAAAAGATGTCTTAATTCCTTTTTTATATATCATTTTGTGCTGTCTTACAATAGAGTGACTATTTTTGCCGTGACATCCCTCTTTATTTTGAAAATGTCATAGCTGATCATCTTGCAAAGTTATGATTTTTGCACAAGATCAAAAGATGTTTTTAAAACTTTAAAAAATTTAATTCTGGTGGTTGCAATGTAACAGTGAAGAAAACAATGAAAACATTTTTTGGTTTTGTGATCTCATTACAGATAAAAAGGTGAGATAAAGAGTCTATGTGTTAAACCCACCAAAACTGAATAATTTTGGGATCGGAATGGGATGATACAAAATTATGTAGTAGAATGTTTCCTTTGTTTTCTCACTAGGACATTTTACTGAAATATATATCTCAAATTATTTGGGGAGAAGAATATAAATGTGTTCCTCATTTGTTCCTTTATCAATGCATAAAGCTCTTTCGCATTTGTAAATGTAAGCTGTGCTGCTTATGTTAGTAGACTAGAATGCATGTGTGCAATACTCAGTTTCTTCATTTTTGCACAAGTAACTGGGCTTCCCTGTTTACTTCTGCACTTTCTTTCTTTGTTGATGACCATGTCATGTTTTGCCCAATAGCAGCTTGTCACAACGTTATCATACTCTTGAAAAGGCACAACAGGACTCTTATCCCTCTCCAGATGAGTGTTTCTCTTCATTTTACTGTAGAGTTTAAAAATATTCCTTGTTTTTTACAAAATGCAAACTGCTGTATCATGGCAAGATAAAACCTCTTTATGTAGCACTTTCCTTTCTGTTCTTTCATATAGCTTCACTGTCTTCATATTTTCCACGTTTGAAGCTATCTTTTAATACATTTTTGCCTGAATATTTTTCAAACTTAAGAAATATTCATTTTAGAATATCTTTTTGCCAGTAGCTTTACCTCTGTTCTTCTCATTGACAATTCTAATTTTAACTCCAGCTTAGCCATTAAACTGTGTCATATCTCATTTGCTTTATAGACTTAAAATGTATTATGCTTTTTTCTTTAGTAGTACACTATGATAGCAATGCTTAGAATTACAAAAGTAGTAGTAAATTGAAAACTGTGAGCTTGATTTAATTGAAACAGCTTGCAGCTTATGCTGGTTGTAGTTTGGACTTTATGTCTGGCAAATTTATTTTTCCATATTTGTTTACTGTGGTTTTAAGAGCTCACTTGGACTCTTTAAATCTTTCTATCTTATATACACAGATAAACTATGTTTTACTTCTCTCCCTCTCATCAGAACATTAGACTTGTGATTACTAAGGTTATATCTAGAACATGGAAAATTTCCTATACTCTCCTGCTGCTTATGTGATAGAAGCACAGCAGTGAAGAAAAAAGCTTCTGTTTAAAATGCAGCAAACCACCTTGTGTAAACATGGGTCTAATCATAGATGAACTGTAGGTAATAAGAGTGAAACTTGCTAAATAGACTTTTTGTCTGTCAGCACTGCAGTGATGAGACTAGAGACCTTAGGAATCATACATCAATTAATTTTAGATTTTTTGAAGAGATTTCTGCAAAATCAGTTTTTCAAAAATTTTTTTAATCAGTATGTGAATTATTTATTGTGCAGATGACAGAACATACCATTTTCAAGCAGAGGATGAACAGGAATGTCAAATGTGAGTTTCTTTGCTGATTTTATTCTTGATACTCGTGTTCTGCTGAGACTTACCTTGAATTTTAGAAGTGCCAAAACATTTAATAGCAAAATATTACTACCATTTTAGATGGACATCTGTGCTACAAAACAGCAAAGAGGAAGCTTTAAATAATGCATTCAAAGGAGATGATAACACAGGAGAAAATAATATTGTCCAGGAACTGACAAAAGAAATTATATCTGAAGTCCAGAGGATGACTGGAAATGATGTTTGTTGTGACTGTGGAGCACAAGGTGACTCAATTAAGCATATTTCTAATTGGTAAAAATTCTTTGTCTCATGAGAATATTTAAGCTAATGTTTTATGCTTTCACTTTTACTCCTTATTTCACAAAAATTATACACATAGTAGAATATGCTACAGTTTAATGGAACTACTTTAGTAAGATTGATTTGCTCTATGCTTATTGTCAGTGGGGAGAAAAGTTACTAAGAAGCTTATTTTTGTCCCATATATTTTGCTAATTGTAGCTTTTGGTTACATAAATAAGTGAACTTACATAAAATATGGTTTAATAATATAAGATTATTTTATTATTTACCTAATTTACCTAATAATAGGTAAAACTGAGCAGCCATCAGAATCATGAAGCATTTTCTTAATACACCCTTTTTCTTGGGTTTTTTTAGTAATGTTTGACTAAGTGAGCCAGGGAATATGTCTGAGGCTGTGCTCATTTGGAAAAGAATACACCTGCACTGACTATGGTTTGCAGTGTTGGTTTTGTTGATCAATGAATTTCTACTTTAATCCTCTTTAATTTATTTTTTAAATCCTGCTGTTTCCTGTGTTCTTTTATGTTAGAGAGGCACTGCAAGGCTTAGGGTTTTTTGATGTGAAACTGTAGCTGAAAATATCAGATCTGATGCTGTCTGCACTTTATAAATCGATTGTTACTTCCAGCAATAGATATTGTATAAGACTATGGGAAGAGTCAATCCTGCTCTCTTAAAAGGAGAAGAGTCTAAGTAACAGCTACCAAACCTTTATCAAATAAATAAGTTACTAAGTTGCCTGAAACTTCAGAAATTAATTATTTGTCTGGAAGATGAGGGAATGTTATAATAAAATTCAAAATACCAGGAGAAAAGACAAGCAAGGGTTACTAAAGGAGAGGGATGAGCTTTAGTATCTTTGAAATAATTGAGTGAGAATCCATTGTAGTGTGTGCTGTATGTGTACTTCAGAATCTCTTCTGCTTCACTTAGTCTGAAGTCTATACTTGAAGTACAAAAAAAAACCAACCCTGTAAGCATTGTTATTTCAGTTTGAACTGCACCTGTAGTCACAGTTGAGAATGTGACACTGTTATATTAGTGGTAGAAAAATGCAATTCCTGAAAGGTGTGTGAAGAAAGACAAACTAGACTGGTTGAGTAGCTCCCTCGGAGAGAGATGTCCTTCACAAAAATAAAATAAACATTTTAATCTTCTTTTATCATTAAAAAACCCACTGTTTTTGTTTCCCAGTAAAGTAAATGTAAAGACATAAATTATAAAATATATAATTAATGTGCAAAAATCTTATTTTACTTAATAGTATGTTCAAAACTGTAAGTAAGCCAAACTGTAACCTAAAGAGATCGTGGAGAAAAGAAACTCCAGGCCAATTTAGTGTATAAGATGAGATAAAAAGAGCAGGTCGTTTGATGAGGCCCTCAGGCCCAGGGGAATACACACAACGTGCACCCCAGACAGTGATTCTACAGTTTTATAATATGGTCTGTCCAATCCCAAAACTATTTCACTTCTGTGTGCTACATTTTCTAGAGTGAAATAATCGTCTGAATAAATTTTAATTGTGTGGGTGTTTTCTGTTTCAGATCCTACCTGGCTTTCAACAAATTTGGGAATTCTAACTTGCATTGAATGCTCAGGAATCCATAGAGAACTCGGTGTTCACTATTCCAGGATGCAATCACTTACATTAGATGTGCTGGGAACATCTGAACTTTTGGTAATCAAATTGCTTTTATTAACTTAAAAATAGTACTGTAAAATACTTCTAACACAAGTATATTTTTAACACTTTAACGATATGTCATTGCAATCCTGAAAGTTGCCTCTGGATAAACATAATTTAAGAAAGCTTAATTCAAGTTTAATGGATCCTCCTGGAACATAGCGTCCTACAGTAAAATTTGCTTATCTTAGAATTCAAATTAGTAGAGGCTTCATATTTTTTGTGTTTTCAGGTCTTTACCCTTGGTTGCTCTTTATAAGAACACAGCTGTTTGACATATAGATGTGCCTAAGATTAAAAATTGAAGGACTTGCAAATACTTATCCCATTAATTATTTAGCATTATTTTTAGAAGAGAACTTTAATCCCCAAAGAAAGAAAATGCATTCAGCTTTGCTACACAAAGAAGTTACCACTTATCAGCTGCTCTGTGTGACAGTTCATATGTGTGTTCTTACCCAGCACAAAGTATTTGCCTTTATCATATGAACTGGTGTCTTCATGGATTAATTATTCTGCAGTTACTGGTTCAGGTACTAAATCCCAGCTGAAAATTAACATCCAAGAAGGTACCTGGTCTATTCATTATCACTGACATAGTAGCAGAACAAGGAATCAGAAATAAGAGATCTCAACTCTCGTTTTCCCTTGCCCCTTGATGTGGCTAATATGTGTGTGGTCAGTAGCTGAACATGTTTATTAAGTGAGCTGTGGATTTATTTTTTTTTTTACAGCTTGCAAAGAATATTGGTAATGCTGGATTTAATGAGATTATGGAGTTCTGTCTGCCAGTTGATGAGACGGTCAAACCTAACCCAAGCAGTGATATGTAAGTAAAGAGCCACTACTTCTGAGAAAGGCAAACATTTAATTTAATATTGCTAAGAGGTTGTGCCATTATGGTTTGGACTGGCAGGCCATGGAAGATGTGTAATGTCTTATTTATTGTCTTATAGCCAAGGAGGAAACCTTTTTTCTGATGCTTTGCTTGTCTGTTCTATTGAGTTTTGTCTGACTGTACCTTCCCTAATAGTAAGGATTATTTTACCAACTCTCTGAATCATGGTTTGTGGGACAGAAACAAATTAACCATGACTTGTTGGGAACTTTAAAGACACACAAGGATAGGGATTAAAAAAAACAAAGCAAATAATTCTATCCTATTTAAACACAAAATAGAAATTGTAATAAGTTGCACATTTACCTGTAAGATACTGAACACGTAGTGTTTAGGAGCCACACCTAGGACTGAAGTCTGTAACTGTGTGGAATAAAGACAGAACATTTAACTGAATTCCTCGAAAACACTGAACAGCGATGGCAGAGATACAGCAGGGACAGCTGCCTGCTTGGCTGGATGCTACTCCACCATAAAAGAGCTAGTAAACAATGCTGAAACAAACGCAGAAGAATTGGCTTTGGATGAAGCTGATTTTACATTATGTGGACTTGTAAGCATTCTGACAAAACCACTGTTAAACAGTGCAGTTTAAATAATTTTTGACTACTGCTATCAATAATAGTGCAGATTATTAATATTAATAAATAAAATTACTAATAATTTTACTGAATAGTAAAGCAATATAATAAGAACACTTCTTAAATTTATATTTAAAAATCATTGAGTTTGATACTTCTACATATAAAATTTGGGGTTTTTTTATTGAAATGAGAATCTGAAGACACACTTTTTAAAAACTACAAAGGATTACTATCAAATGCTTTATGAACAAGAGCTATCCATTGATTCAATTTGTTATTATTTGTTAGGTTCTTTTCTTTCTGCCTATTGCATAGTATCTAGGTGATAAGGTATGACTTTGTTAAATGTCTTCTTTGTAATATTGTGTACATTCCAAGAGCTGGTAAGGAGTTATGCCTTTGGGAGGCATGCAAACTCCTGTCCAGCTGTGATGGGAAGAGGAGTAGATATGTGTTATTGGGTATCAACAGCAAAAGTGATAACTCTTATGGATTCAGGTGTGCTAAGTTTTCACCTTTTTTAGAAATGTAAATAAGAGCTCCACTACATCCTCCCTTTTACGGTTGCGGTGAAAACTTGCTTTAAAGGATGTACTTTCACTACTGCAAATTGAAATTCAAGGCCTGGATAGTCTGTACAGAGGTATAAGAAAGATTTTTGATTTTTTTTTTTTTATCTCATGCCTTCCATCTCTTTCCAGCATGTGTACAGCAGTACAAGTCAGGTAAACATAAACCTGCAAGACAACATAAAACCAGCATTGTGAAGCTCTGATGTATCTTCTGTACATAGAGCTGGGTAGTCTTGTCCTCAACTACACACCAGAGTTTGGAGGGGAAAATTCGTGGTCTGTCTTTGTATTGGATATTTAATTCATCTTCTATAACTATATTTCATACTTGATATATGAGACTGCATGGTTACATGCATATTTTAAAAGAAAATTATCATAATGAATGAGAACTAGTCTTTCCCAGATCTTATTTCAAATGACTTGCATGTATTTATGGAAATGCTAATGTGTATCTTCTGATGAAAGTTATAGAAGTAATTCATATTCAATTTCAGGAATGCAAGAAAAGATTATATTACTGCCAAGTATATTGAGAGAAAATATGCAAGGAAAAAGCATGCTGACAATGCAGCTAAATTGCATGCTCTTTGTGAAGCAGTCAAATCAAGAGACATTCTTGGTTTAGTTCAAGTATATGCTGACGGCGTGGATCTCACAGAAAAAATACCACTGGCCAATGGCCATGTAAGTGTTGTAAATTTTATTAGTCAAATTGTTTTAAATGCAATATGCATTCATTAATTAAAAATTATTTGAAAATAACATTTGAAACACTGTTCTAAATGCTTGTCCTTTTCATGACTTACTTTAGCAATAACAAAAGAAGATACTAAATAGTTTAATCTAAGATTGGTTCCAAATACTCTTGTATTTTAAATGTATTAAAATGCTAAACACAAAATCATTCAATAATCTGTTAATTTTCAACCCATTTGTTTGCTTTAAAGGAACAGAAGGGATACAATAAGTCTTCAGAGGTGTTTTTAATGGTAGCATATCTGCATATTTTGAAATTACACATTTTAGTTGATTTAATTTATGTCTTAATAGAATTTCTGCTTCTCTGTAGATCAGAAGAAATAAATGTGCTTTTTCGTTTTCTTCTTAGGAGCAAGATGAAACAGCACTGCACCTTGCTGTTAGGTCAGTCGATCGAACATCACTTCACATAGTTGACTTTTTAGTGCAGAACAGGTTAGTGTATGGAAACTATATATTGACATTGCTTTTATGTGAGGTAGTACAAATACTAAATCAATACAAACACTAAAACTGTATTTGCAAACGTAATTTTATTCTTTAAAAATCTTCGAATGAGAGCAATTTAATAATATAGGGTAGGAAACTTAAGTTTAATCAGCTTTCTTCTTCTTTCTTGTTCTCCAACAGTGGCAATCTAGATAAGCAAACCTGTAAAGGTAGCACAGCCCTGCATTACTGCTGTCTAACAGACAATGTTGAGTGCCTCAAACTGCTGCTGAGAGGGAAGGCTTCTATTGAAATAGGTAAAAGGGTAATGTGTACTTCGATTTCCTATTTGTCGCTGCTTCAGATAAGAAACAGTGAAGTCAGAATAAGTGCATTTTCTCCTCAATTGTTTATCATCAATCTGTAAACATAATCTTCATTATAAGAAGAATCAATATTGACTGTTTATTTCAAGTTTAAAATTCACTTATACATTACACTTATTTTTAAACAGATTTAGATTTTTAATTGCTGTCTTTTATGTCTATTTATATACTGCCATTTCATGGCTATCATTCATATATATATATGGCAGGTTGAATTACTACTCCTTGTCATGGTCAGAGGGTTGATATGATTTGAACCTACATATGAAGGAAAGAGATGAGTTTTAGAGTGTTGATCTAGTCCTTCACTATGTATCTGCAGGTTTGTCTTTAGTAATGGACATGTTAATAGTGACACTGCTCATCATATATTTCTTTTCTTGCTGTAATATAGCAAATGAAGCAGGAGAGACGCCACTAGATATAGCTAAACGTTTAAAACATACTCACTGTGAAGAGTTGGTGAGTATTGTCTTTCCATGGCTGCATTTATAAGCAAAATCATGTTTGAACATTTAAGAGTTTACAATTGAATAATCAGTTAATATATTCCAGATGCAATAATGGTATGCTAGAAATAGTTATATCCTTAGAAATAGTTATAGGCTTTTAAGAAGAAAACTATATTTCTCTTTAAATGCATCAGAAATGCTAAAATTCTTGGGGCCAGGGGACGATTCTGTTTGAGCTATTAGTCAGAGATCCACAAGTAAGATTGCCTCAGTAAGTTTTCAGATGACACCGGTGTTGATCTGCTGGAGGGTAAGAAGGCTCTGCAGGGGGATCTGGACAGGCTGGATTTATTTGTGTTGTATTTGGTACCACAGCTTAATTCTTTAAATTTACCTGAGTGCAGTAACTTTCCACATTACTGAAATCAAGATTCCTTCTATATGTGGGCTTTTTTTGTTTTTAAATATGCTGTTTAAAAAGAAGTACTGCACATAACATAGGTGTCAACAGTCATCTCGTTTTTCCTTAGCTTACTCAAGCACTGTCTGGAAGATTTAATTCTCATGTTCATGTAGAATACGAGTGGCGGTTACTCCATGAAGATCTGGATGAAAGTGATGACGATGTGGATGAAAAGCTGCAGGTCTGTATCAGCATTATTTTTCTGAACACGTACATGTGTACGTATGATGCTCATAATTATTTCAGTAACATTGCTTTTTACTATGGGGCTTTTTACTTCTGCATGGCATTTTATATTTCTATCACAGTATTTATGTATTCCTATATATTGTATCACCATTCAGATAATAACAGCACTGATGATGACCTTTTTGATAAAGCAGCTTGAAACTTTTAGAGATTCAATTTTTTTCCAGCTGTAAAAATTTTTAGTAATTTACAATTAGAAATCCCTTTCTGGCATGCTCTAAATTTGTATATTTGATCTGTTCTTTTCCTTCACTTCCTTCATTGTTGCCAGTTGCCTTCTGCAGTTGAGTGTCCTCTTTTTGAATCACTGAGCTCCATCTGATATAGGAAAGTATCTGCTATTCAGCAGTGAGGCTAAAGTAATGAAGATCCTACTTCGCTGCCCATTATTAATAGGTTTATACTGCAGGGACTTCTGAAAGGAGATTAAGGGCCATTAATCACAGACTGTAGTCTATGACTACATTGAATGCATGGGTGAATACTGCTGTTGCTTTAGGATCACATTAGAGTTTTGTTTATAACTGTCAAGCTGTTGGGCTTGTCTTGCTGGTAAAGCAATTGAATAGATTTTGTAATCTTTGCCAGAAAAGATCCTGTCTGAAATTTGAGTTGTTTTAGTCCAGAGTATTTAATGTAAAAGAAAGTTTAACCTAAAAGAAGGTTAAGACAATTCAACTGGTTTCTGCTGCTGTTGCACAACCTGGCTGCCTGGTCCTACCTCAGTTTTGCCTCCATTCTGACACACGTTTGTCCCTGTATTGAACTGCTTCGGTTTGGTGAACCAGTGAAAAGCTGAATCAACAACACAAACCCAGAATTTTCTAGTGGTTTAGAAAGCAGAAGTGTGGGCTTAAACAAGGACAGGACAATGGAGAGGTCAGGGAATGGAGAGCGTCAGCCAGTGAGTGAGGCTGCTAAGCCAAAGTAAGGGTAGGGATTAATGTGTCTGGCTGTCACGTACAGCATTCTGATAAATCTTTGAACTATAATGCTGTGCTATAGCATGTCTAAAGGCCCTACATGATCAACCCAGAGTAAGCATTGAATATATTCAGAGAAAAATTGATTGCTTGTTAGTGATACTCTTGGTGTAAATCTATTCTGCCTAAATGCTATTACTATAAATGGTTATTTTAATTTCATACAAACGGCATGTTAGCGATGTGTTTATCTAGTACTATTTCTGAAAGCACATTTATGTTCTCTGGGCTGTGGATTGTTACAGCCCATTCCTGTAGTAGCTACATGAATTTGTAACTCCAGTTATTTTAATTATGATTTGATAGCAATAATTACTATGCTTGCTCTTGAAACAGGAAGAATAATGCTAAGTGCAGATGATTGCTGTAAATCTCAAAGACAACTAATTAGATCTCATTTAATAATGTACATGGGATGAGCAATGATCCATCCAAGCTGCCAATTGAAGTAATCTCCTGAACTTGTCCAGCAATACTAGTGAGCTAAAAAGAGTTCATGAGAACTTTTTGCTTCTAATTTGCTCTAGGCTGAGCTACAGGTATAATACCTGGATGCAGCTGAGTCTGGGTTTTGAGATCATGAGCATGTATTTGGGATTTAGCACTGCTGAATTTCAGATGAAGCTTATGATCTTCAGTTGTTTATTTAGTTTTGAAAATATTGCCAGGCATTTTGATGCAGAGAATCTTTACTTCATCCAATTTGATTATGTATAGAAGTATAGTCCTGTGCATATAAGGATACAATATTATCCTACAGGAGTATACTAGAGGAGAAATATGTTAATTGTTTTGAAATGCAGTTCACATTTAATCTTTTTCTGTTTATGTGTACAGTTACTTTGTCTTGAAGAGGACAGAATGTAGGTTTTAGATTACGTATTAAAAGGAACGAAAATGCATTTTAGAAGGCATTTTTTCTTTATAGAAACTAATAACTTTCTATCAACTAATAAATAAAGTGAGTACTACTAATGTGGTAATTATGAATTCTTTTGTTATTGTGTTTAAGCAACCCAGTCCCAATCGGAGAGAGGACAGGCCTGTAAGCTTCTACCAACTTGGGTCAAACCAACTTCAGCCTAATGTAGCATCCTTGGCAAGAGATGCAGCGAATATTGCTAAGGATAAGCAAAGAGGGTTTATGCCAAGTATATTACAGAATGAAACATATGGAGCAATACTTAGTGGCAGTCCACCTCCCGTTCAGCCTGCAGTACCTGTTACAAGTAGTGCACCTCCTCTACCTCCAAGGAACATTGGCAAAGGTACTAACAGCGGAAAATACCATTGTATATTAGAGGAATGGGGTCATCACTTTTTTTTTAAAAGTTTATATTTTTAGGCTTTCTTTTACAGTTGCTTTGCACAGGTAAGTATTGGAACAGTTTACCGATGACTTCATTTTATATACTTGAAGTGAATTTGCTCAACCTGTTCTGAGTGATTTTAGTGTACCTATGAGAAAGTGCACAACAGTGTTTGAGAAAACAATACCTAAATAATCTCACTAGAGCTAAATCATTTGTTAAAAGGAGGCCTGCAATTAATTTAGTTCAACAATTTTTTTTGTTATATTTCATTTTTTCATACTTGAAGATGTTGTTGTCAGAGTTCAGTTTAAAGATACAATTTCAATAGCATTTGTCTGCTGTGAAAATTTGCTTAAGACCTCGAAGAATGAAGAATGTATACAAAACATGAGATTATAACATTGCAAAGTCTTCTCTTAATATATGCTTCAAGGTTGTTGAAATAAAAGTATAAGTGTCATGATGTGGAGACAACCCTAACTGGATGGCTGAAAATTTAACTACCAATTACTGGTGACACTCAGATCATTAGAACAATGTAAAATGTACGTGTCTTGTCCTGATTCAAAAGGGTTGTGTGCTTGCAAAATCTACCATTAATGCTGATGCTGTGAATTTCATTCTTATCTTTGTATGTAATCTGTTTGACCATAGTAAAGAAGCATAGAGAAATGTCTATTGGTCCTCTTTGTACAGGTCATGCTTGGTGTTCCATTGTTTTAATACCTTTATTAATCCACCAGGTTTCATGGATGCTAAATTTATGTAAAGTTCAATTAAAGAAAAATTACCTTTAAACACATGGTTTTCTATGGTGCTGTAAATCAGAATCCATAAGAGGAGATATGATCAGGGAATGTTCCAGGCACACATGGGCTTCTGCCTTTGGGAGCACTGTGCAGAAGTCAGAATGCAAGTCTCCAGACACCAGTGATTGTGTTTAAGATGGCAGATTGATCATCTGTGTAGTATGAAAAGTCAGTTACTGCTCTCACAGGAATGGCTTCAGCATAGAAGTTGGGTTAAAATATATTATTTTGGGAGTAGAAAAGCAGAGAACAACAGAACAGCATGGGTTACTTTAAAAGGATAGCATGAGACTGGGGGAAGTTTAGTAGCATATAAAACTTAACCAAGGTGGGATTCCTTTCCTCTAGCACTTTCACATGAACTCTAAACTTAATATTTCAATAACGGTTTTTTATTTGATGGAAAGCAATGTTTCCCCCACCAAACAGGAAAATTAACAGAAGGAGCTGTTAAACAAACACTTTGTTTAACTGTTAGAGTCTACCTCTGAATCAGTAATACAATTGGATAGTTAAAAAGACTTTTACCTTTTGATATTGTTTCAATCATGGCCAACCATACTCTTTTACCCACTGTTTGCCCTTGATTAAATGGCACTTTTCAAAGAGTGTTGTTTTAATTTCATTCCCAACCCCAGACTTCTTGGCACCGCTATAATACAACTCATGCCAGGAAGTCATGCTGCCTGCCGTAGATTATTAACTCATATTCTTTACTCTAGCAATGTATTAGCCTATTAATTTATATTCTTAGTTAAAAGCTATACTAGTATCATCAGTCTTAGCTTGTTGTTGATTGGTGATGTTGTTGATATTATACTTACGGTGTATTATTACTCCTTTATCCTCATAGCTTTAGGCAGTTCTCCAAGTCTTCTGAGCCTTTTATGCTTTTCCCTGCAACCTAATATTTATTCATACCTTACTCTGTTTCATCTTTTCTTAATATGATGCTCATGTGCAGAGTAGGGAGAAGTGGCATAATATGTGCAAAATATTGGCCTTTATGTGCAAAATATTGGCCTTATGAAGAAAACCTGTAGCGTGTTTTTATGAAATGAGGAGGCAGCTCTTCAGCCTAAGAATGGAGTCATTAAGAAGGCCCTGAAGAAGTCATACTTTGTAACTGTTTCACAACTAGTTACTATAGCTTCTTGCTTGGGTGAAATTCAGAATTACAGTTTTACATTGTTTCCAAGTCAAAACTAATGTTTTGCTTTGAGTGAGCAACGTGTACTAATGCTCGTGCGGGCGTGAGGTCCTTTTCTTGCAGTACCTGAGAAAATTACAGGTATCAGTCAGAGATTAAAGAAGGTAGCAAGACTTGTCTTGTGTCTTCTTGTTGAGAAACCTCTGCTTTTTTAAAGTGTTGACATATTCTAAAATAATGACTGGAGACAAATTTCACTTAGGTAAAATATTAGAAGTTTCTGGTTGAAGTCTTGCTGAGTAATTTTTACACCAGACTGATTTCTGCTCTGGCTTTCCAGCAGGATGCAGTGGTTCCTATTGCTGATTATAGTGGTCTGGCTGCACCATTTCTAAAAGCACGGGTGTGAATATTAACACTTTGTGCTTAGGGTAAGCAATAATAATAATACAGTATTTTCCTCTCTTTTTAGTTCAGCCTTCAGTTCTTGGCAGTGGTATTCAGACAATTTCTTCATCTAATGCAATGTGGAAGACAAATTCTTTAGGAGTGGAAAGTATAAGCAGGCAGAGGTCTTCATCTGATCCACCAGCTATTCATCCCCCTGTGCCGCCATTGCGTGTAACATCTACAAGTATGTTTCCACTTTCCCCTGTTTTCCCTTCTGCTGTATCTAATCATAGTTGGCTTATTTTTCCATTTCCACAACTCATACTTCCTCTTTTGGTGACTGTAACTTTGGCCTGTCATTCCCATCCAGTAACAAACTGTCTTCTCTGATGTTCCAGTGAGGACTGTATGGTGTAGTGCAGGGTCAGCAGGAAATACCATCTATTACTAGATCTAAAGAACTCATCACTTTATAGTTTCAATGCTGCATTTCTCACTAGTTGTGAAGGTGAGTGTTACATGTAGACCTGGGGCTATGTCTCCACGTTGTGCTTGATTCTTGCAGACCGTTGGAGTGCAAAAAGTTGTTTTAATGCATTGCCAGCTGCTGTTGTGGTGGTTTCAACAGAAATTTTAATTAATTGCTAAACCTAATGTGAAGTTAGTTGTTAACAGGATTTTAAGAAAGATGTTCCCCTAAATAAAATTTCTCTGATATTATTCATTCAGTTACTTTTTCATAAAACGCAAACTGAAGCCTTGACTGAGCAAATAATATTAGCACTTTAAATATATTCTGATCTGCTGTTTTCAAGAATATGACTGACTTCGGTAAGAATTTTCTTTGCTTGTACTTTAATGGTGATTGAATTTAAGTTCTTGTGAGCTCTCTGACTTTGACTAGGTGAAAAAAAAAGGTAAACCTCTTTCCAAAGAGGTCCTCCTTCCAATGGAAGGATTGCATTCTGTTAAAGGTATTGATTGCATGTTGTAAAGCATTTTTCTTAAATGGGGTTAAGTCCTGGAACAGGGAGGACCTATGATGAGAGCCCGAGAAACAAAATGGTAAATAGAAGTTTAATTCCATTTTGTTGTTGAACTTTCCTCTATAGATGTACTTTCTCCAGCACCACCACCTCCAGTGGCAAAGACAGCCAGCATTATAGAAGCTCTGAACCAGCAATCAAAGCAGCAACCAGCTCCTCCACAAACTAAGCCAACCCCACCACCATTGCCCCCACAGCCTCCGAGTAGAATCTCTCAAAGAAAGCCTATTCCTGGGTAACTAATGTCCTTTTAGTATTTAATATACTTCATCATTGTTAGCAACTTATCAATTTTATGATATATAGCATACAAGTCATCTATAAAGCATGCATACTTCTGCCAGTCATGTGTTCTAGAGTATGAAAATGAATAAAGGCAGACCCTAAGGAAGCAGATGACAAGGATTTCTGTGGTAAAAACAAGACAGCCTAGTGATTTAAGATCATATGACTTGCAGAATATCTCCAGAATGCTTAGCTGTGATGGAAATAACAAGCCACAAAGAATAATCGATTCCTAATTCTCATCTAATAAAAAAGAGATAATGGGATCTAATATCTGATTGTGCCATTTTTTGCTCCCATGCTTTATGTAAAGTTCTGTTGCTTTCAATCTTTTCACTTGTAGAGTGAAAATAGAGAAGTAGAGAGACCTGGAACAGAAAAAGTAATTTTTAAATTTGCAAAAAACTAAGTTAGGAAGGAGAAGTGTACTGGAAAACAGGATCATGTCCAAAGCATCCTTGACAAACTGGAGTGGTAGTCAAGGGAGAAGAGGGGTGTCATTCAGTAAGCAACACTTAGTAATTAAGAATAATCAACTGCAGAAACGAAGCATGGAGAGCAGCAGAGTATGGGTAAGCAAAAGTCCTTAGAAGAAGGATCTATAGGGACACAGTGAGTCATAAATTAAAGCAAGTCAGACAACTTGTGCTGTTGTGGAAGAGTTAAAGAGAAATGGTATTGTTTCACTATAGCCTGAAAACTATAGGAATTAATCCTCCCAATTGACTCAGCTTCAGTAGTGCCTCAGTGGGACTGCTGTGTTCAGTTTGGGGCATTACAGCAGCAGACAGATACAGAATAGTGAGGCGGAAACCAGGGGACATCAATAAGGTGAAGAGAAGTCTGGAAAATAGGATCTTTGAGAAAAGTGTGGAAGAAATAATTCATTCACAAAATGGGACTGAAAGACGTAAGCAATCTTGGGCCTTTAAGTTCCTTTTCTAGCCCTTTTATTGCATATACCATACTAAGTAGAAGGAAGACACAACTTGTTGAGGCTTGCTATAATGCACAGGCTAATATGGATACATAATTTTAGCCAAAAACAAATTGAAAAAAACAGTGAAAGCAACTTCAGAACTTGGGAAAAGCCACAAATTGCATTAATTGCACCTATATTATTCTTCTCCCTTTTTTAAATTAAGTGCAACTTTCAATTGGCGTAATCAAAAATACAGAAGAAAAATAGTATTTTTAAAAGCAAAATAGCTGTCACCAGAATATACTGAAGACTTGCCAAGACTTTTATAATTTGGAAAGAACTTTGTATTGTTGCATTTCAAGTTCTTGTTTGTTTTTGAAATGGATCAATTTCTCCCTTTCTGCACAGGACTGAGAAGTCATCTGGCTTAACTAACAAAGGGCAGACCAGAGGACCTGGGTCTCTACAACAACCTGGTAATTGTGGTTTAGAAATTAGTTCTATTGTAATTAAGCTATCATTATAACAATCTAAGGGAGAGTGTGGGTTTGTGGTGTTTGTTTTTCTAATTTACCTTGCATGTTTAACTACAGTCAGTACCAACATTCTTCTTGATGTAGGCAGGCCCTGATGCCTACACAAGTTCTTGATACACAAGTTCTTCTTCATGAACAGAGTTATGGGCCAGTTAATGTAAATAATGGGGCCATGTAATAAGCAGAATCACAGAATGGTTGAGGCTGGGAGGGACCTCCGCAGGTCATCTGGTCTAACCCCTCTCCTCAAGCAGGACAGCAAGAGTGGATCACCCAGGACCATGCCCAGAGAGCTTATGTGTGTCTCCAAGAACAGAGACTCCACAACCTCTCCAGGCAACCTGTGCCAGTACTGGGTCACTCTCACAGTGATATTATAAAAAATTTAGTTTGCTCTGTGGTTTGCATGTGTCATAAACTAGGTATCAGGTACACATTTTAGAATAGAAAGATGTGTTTCTGGTTTGAAAATTTAAAGCTCATACAAGTTTCACTTTTAATTAAATTGCAAATCGATATTGCTCTTTTCATGGTAATAAACAGAGTTTGTTATTCAGAGTTCATTATTCATTCTGTGCTTTTCATTGTCCAGAGTAACTACTACTTTGGGACGTTACAGCAATGTAACCTCCATAAAATCTCTATGGTAAAGTTTGTGTAGATTCTGTGGTGGTTGTAGTGGAATTCCTCCTGCCCAGTTTTCCTTCCCACTATATATTTTATGTTCATTTATTTTTACAGTGATTCTTTTTTATTTCCTCTTGACATATCTAAGGGTAATTTGCTAATGCTTGTCATCTGTGTCAGGAGTCTCCTGTAAAGAATACAGCATCCTGATAATTATGGTCTTTAGTCAGAAAGAAAGGTTCTAACAGTACACAGTCTGTACTGAAGGAATGGAGAGATGATATATTTGGTTTTGCCCTCATCTATTGTATAGGTTTATCTTTTTGGTAAGGAAAAGAATAGAAAATTCTATTCAGTTACTTAGAAATAACCATTAAAAATTAAATACTTATGGAATATAAAAATTTTTGTGTCCTTTAAAGAATAATTCATTTGGCTTCAAATGATACCGTTACTTTTTTTTTTTGAAGCATGCCTAATATTTACTTGGTTTACTTACCTTAGCAGGAGAATCTTCTTCTGTATGTGACATTGCAGGAACACAGGCTGGTTCTACAACAAATACTTTGGCACAAATCCAGCCACCAGCACCAATGCCAAGGAAATCACAAATAGTAAGTACAAAATCTGGCATTTGATGTAATTAAATCTGCATTCTGTTAAACACACTGGACATGATTATGTATCCTATTATGGAGCAAGTGTGAGAATCATGAAACATACAGAGCCTGTATCCTGTGTTTAAGTATATGTGTGACTTGTACTAAGTATTTATGAAAATTTTGTTTTTCTTGAACTTCCTCTAAGATAGTATATGATTTTTAAATTTAAAAAACCAAACCAAACCCCCAAAAAACAAAGAGAAACCAAAGAAAAGAAGTATGGATTTCTTGTGGTGTTCAAATGTGTCCAATCCACCGAATGTATGGTTTGACTTACTGAAGATAAATAAGCTTTATGAGTTAGTCACTCGTAGGTGAGCTTGGTGAATGAGTCACTTGTAAGTAACATTTAGCTTCATTCTTAATCTTTAGTGAAGTAAGTAATAAGGGAACTCTGGTGCTTACTTTTATAATGGCAGCAGATATACTCATAGTTGTTCATGTAGGTAGATGAAACAGCTTCAGACAAGGCTAGTAGGAGTCAAGCTCGAAAGAAAAGAAACCGATTCCTTGTGCAGTTGGTTCTCTTTGCATCTCTTTGTTGTGCATTCACCTGGTGACAGGAGAGTTATCTTTTGGTAAGCACACCCCCAACAGAAAGTGGTTGAAGGGGAATGCCTGGACATATTTTGTATTTTTCTTCTCCACCTTCCCCGAACCTTATAGTGACTGTTAGAAAAGCGATACTGGATTTCAATGGACTCTTGATCTGATGAGGTAGCCTTTTTCTGCTCTTACTTGCTATTTTCAATCTAGGACCATAAGTGGTAACACACATATTAGTGTCAGTACCCGTATTCTTATACTGGTGTAGGTAAAGGGATGTGTTTCCAGATGTAGTGTAGCTGTACATTATGTGTAGTTAGCTAGGTTTTTGATCCTTGCTCTAATTTTCTGTTGCTTTCTTGTGCGATAGACGTAAAACATCTATATCCTTGATCATGGCAGTATTTCTCTGCAGTAAGTAAGTCACAATATGGAGTCCATACTTTCTGAGATGATGCATGTGACCAGGTCTGGGCTGTTTCATGCTTTACATTCTGTTTAGGAGTGTGGTTCAGTGGGTAAATAATAATCAGAGAGGTAGGACGTGTTCTTTCTGGCTCTGTGATGGTCTTATTAATGGGCTGTAATGAAAAGACCTACCCTCTTCAGTCCTGTCTCTCTCCCTTCATCCATTTTTCCTTTAGCCATGTCCACTGAAATAGCAATTCCAGAACAGACTTCATTGTGTTTGTGTGCATAGCCTTACATGGTGGTCCTGAGTTCTTAGAACCCCTATTAGCTGTTTCTCATGCTGAGAAGCCTTGCAGACGTCTGCAGTTCATCTTGCATTAGTTGGGAGTACAAAATTTTCTGGTTTCTTGCCTCCCCCACTTGTTCAACCAAGTTACTGTCTGTCATGCATTAAAATAACTTTCATGTTTTAGGCCATAACAAAATTAAGTGGTCTAAGTAGTGTAAAGTGGAAAATCTGTTCCTTTTGCTTACATTATCATATTTACTTTGTGAAGCTGTTGTATCCTAATCACAATTTCTCCCACGTGTGCTGAGATTCAGGTGTGAGCAGTGTGTACACATCTGTTGGTTCTGAAACAGCTGCTTACCTGATTTTCTGTATAAATTGAAGTTGTTGTAGTTTCTGTATTGTTCTTTCCTTTTTATTTTTTTTATTTTATGGGACAAAATGCTTTAATTATGAGTGAATGGGCTGTTCTGACTAGTTTCTAGGGTCAGCATCTTCACTGTTTAATATTAATTACGTAGTATGAAGAACAAATATGACTTTCCAGATGTCTCTAGAGCTTCAGTGGGGTGAATTTTGTGACTGAGAAAATCACCTGGGTGACTTTCTTCTGTCACAGGACAGAGAAGTAAGGGAAAACCTGGCTCAGGGAGTGTGTGCTAGTTAAGGTGCTTTAGCTTAATCAATCTAGCTAAAGCATCTTAGCTGAGATTTAGTCAAGGGCCCCTCAGCTAAAGAGCTTTAGCTAGATCAGCGTAGCTAAAGTTCTTTGGTTAAATTGCTCCATTTAGCCTTATACTCCAGCACTTTTTGCTAAGTCTTTACCCTGCCAGAAAATCCAGAGGTCAGCCCAGATTTAAAAAATGGTTGTGGAAACGTGAGTAAAGACAA